TAATGTTTGAAAATGTATTTAAAGTGTTTAAGGATGGTAAAAATTTGTCGAATTCAGGGCCCGGGTCCAGTAAAGAAGCTCTCAGGTCTTACTCTTAGGCTTAGAAAAGTAAGTTACATAAAACAGAAAGTAATATACCTGTATTAGTGCAAACCAATCATTTTTTAGCACAAAACTTCAGTTTACACACTTTTTAGAAAAGCTCATAGTTTGACCTGCTGCCAATTATGTAAATTGATCATGCAGTAAAATAGCTTTGAAAGATAGAAAGGCAGTATTATGCCAAGGTAATTAAATGTTATGAGTGAGTAAATGGTAGCCTAACTCTTCTTTTCTAGTTGTTGCAAGATAGTCTGCATTTTAGTTTTATGCACTAAGAAGTCAGCAAGTTTACTTTCCCCGCAGGTAGCAACAAGATCACCAACAGAACCTTCCCTAGAGGTGTACCCCAAGGGCTGTTGGGGACCTAAGAAATAATGTTTCTGCAACACATTTTTATTTTGGCTCCAAAATTTGCTTCCTTTTCTCTGTAGACACAAGTCCAGTTAACCTTTTGGGTACACAAGGTCTAGGGGAGTGCCTGTGACCTGCGTGGGTATGCTGCATGAACTTGACTAAGAGCGGCAGGGAATGAGAAATAAGACACACACAGACATACAGACATACAGACATAAAACATAAAACAGAAAGCTGGGATCGGGAGGACTGCAAGTTCCTGTTGGGATACGTGAGTGCCTACCTGAGTCAGAGTGTTTATTTTATAGGTCAGAACAAGGAAAAGACTGAGGCAAAAATCAAGCTTCAATAATTCTTGATCCGAGGTAAAAGGAATGAGGTCTGGTGGGCTAATTTTTCTAAGGCTATAGAAGCTTAATTACAACACATCAGTTCTGGAACAATCACTGCATGAAGGACACCTTATCTAAGGTATTGATTAATCTGGCTTCAGGCAGTCTCCAAATAGTTCTGGTACTTTATCTAGTTTTGTATCAAGGGGCTGGTATGTGGTCACAGCAGGTTGTATTCTTCAAGGAGATGTGAGAACAAAGGTCAAGATAGCAGGTGCTGGGAAAAATATAGTAGAAGAGACTGTGCAAGCTCCTACCATGGAAAGGCTGTGCAAGCTCCCAGTCCAGGGTTCATGCCTTGTCTCCAACAGGGGAGGCTTTGGGATTACATGTACATGGTATGCATCACTGCCTTCCCCTGCACCATCTCAATGATCACACTCTTCCCAAGACCAGGATCTACTTACAAAGTCCTTCCTTATGTGGCTGTGGTGCAAAGAGATCTAATATTTAATATGCCTAGTACAGTGCCTGGCACATGGGATTTTATGTCAGAACATTTTTCATTTCCTGATTCTTCTTTCAAGCACCCTTGTCTATACTATAATTTTTTAAATCACTCACTTTAGTACCTTGTATGCTAAAATGAATTAAATAACTTTTCTAGCAGCTCTTGTAGATATAGAATCCCAGGGATAAGATTAGCATCTGCAGAATGTCCTTGAAAGTTGGAGAAAAGTCCAGTAACATCATCCATTATGAAGAAGCAAAATCTAGAACTAGTATTTATTGAGTGGCTCTAGTACCAGTTCCTGTGCAGAGGACTTTGAATGCATTGTCCCTTCATTCTTCAAAACTCACATGTGCTAAGCTATGTTTTCTACTAATGAAGAAGTGGCATTCAGGATGTCTAAGTGACACCACCCAGAGACAGATGCTAAATGACAGCTGAGGTGTGGAGCTCATACCCTTCTGATTTTGAACTTAAGCTCCTCTCTAAAAAAAATGAATGTGCTGCATTCACCTTGGATTACTGAAAAAAAAAATACTGTGAGCAGCCAACATTAGGGTTGCTACAGAGTAGCCAGGGCCCACCAAGCAATCCCAGATTTGTAGATGGAGTGGGGCCTTTGAGTAGTGACTGTTAGAAATCAGCTCTGTAGCAGTGTGCCAGCTCTGATGTCCCTGGAGAGCTCATGTTCTTGTTCTGCCAGCTGCAGGGTGATGCAGGAAGGAAAGCAGGGGTTGTCAGCTGCTTGACAAAAGAGATCTCTTTACTACCTGGGAGACAAGCAAGAGGGTCTCTAAGCCCCCGTCTGTATTCACACTTTTCTCTAATGATATAATTCTTGTCTCCTTCAATTGACTCTGTGACAGATCTTTTAATTCACACTGGTTTTAAATGTCTCAATTAATGACTTTGGGAAAGAAACACATCAACATTTACTTAACTTTAAAGCTCTTGAATCAGCATTGAGTATCTTTAACTCACAATGTTCCAGGATAGTTTTTGTTTGTTTGTTTGTCTTGATAGGACTAGAGTCTGAAGGTAGGAACTCAGGGCTTTGCACTTGCAAAGCAGGCACTCTACTGTTTGAGCCATCCTTCTGATCCCAGGAATTTTTTTTTTTTTTTGATGGTACTTGGGAGTGACCTCAGGGCCTTGCACTCGTTAGCTAGACACTCTACCACATGAACCACACTGCAGTACTTTTGCTTTTTTAGTTCATATTTGAGACAGGGTCTCATGATACAGGCCTTGATCTTTGAGCCTCCTACCTGCACCTCTGCAGTAGCTGGGATTACAGGCATGTCCCACTATAACTGGCTTGCTTTTCAGAAAAAGGCTCATTAACTTTTGCCGGGGCTGACTTGGAACCTCAAGCTTCCTACCACTTGACACCACACTCAGCAGATCCAGGATTTTTGTTATTGTTGTTGTTACTGGGGTTTGAACTCAAGGCTTCACCCTTGATTGGCTGGCTGTCAACCACTTGAGTCTTCCAGTCTTTTTTCATATGTGTTGGGTATTTTCAAAATAGGGTGTCCAGAAATGTTTGCCTGAGCTGGCTTTGGACATGATCTTCCTGATCTCTGCCTCCTGAGTAGCTAGGCTCTTAGATTGATCACTTGACATTAATGGAGTTTGGTTAGAAGTAACCACTATCATTTCATGGAAAATGTATGACCCTGAAATGTGTGGAAAAATCTACTTAGGAAAATGACATGCATATAATCTAATGACAATAGTGATCACAGCATTTTCTGGAAAAATGCCTTGCTATTTCAACTACCAAAGCAATCTGTTTTATTTTTTAAAAAAGAAAAAGAATGCCCCACAAGGATGCATAGCTAAGGTGTTTCACGCTCTATTTATTTTCCTTTTAAAGGACAATGTATATGACTTCGGTATTAGTTACTTTAGTATTACATGAAGTTAGATATTAAAAAAATATTGGCCTAAGGGCCAAGGAAGTGGTAAACAGGTAAAAGAGCACAAAGGGCTGGTGGCACAGCTAAAGTGGTAGAGTGCCTGCATGCCAAGTGCATGGCCCTGAGTTCAAAACCTGTAGCGCCACAAAAAATAAAAGCACAAGTCAGATGTGGACTAATGTGCCATGTGCTGTCACTCATGTAGCCAACCACTGCAAGCTTCTTGCTTGATAGTCAATAACTACATGGTGGTTCAGTGATCACCTTATAGGATACCCAGTCCATATTCAGTTTACATCTGAGTTGTGACAAAAACTGAAACTTTTCTAAATAGCATTTTTTTCATGAGCAGGATGGTTAAAACTGCTAGCAAGTTTAATGAAAACAGAAACCCTTTCTGAATGCAAACTGGTAATATAGCCATGGTTAACACCATGCCACATATTTTTAATTTGTTGGGTTTTTTTTTTTTTTCAGCATTGAAGTTTGAACTTAGGGCCTCCAGCCTTCTATCAATTAAGCCATGTCTCCAACTCTTTTTGCTTATTTTTCAGATAGGGTCTCTGGATTTTTGCCTAGGGCCAGCTGTGGACCTTGACCCTCCTATCTCCATGCCCAGGTTTGTTTATTGAGATAGACTCTGTTTGCTCAGGCTGGCCTTGAACTATGAACTTCCGGTCTCTGCTTCCCTAATAGTTAGGATTACAGACATGCACCACTGCTCCAGCCCGTATTTTAATATTTTCTACTCTCTTTAGGACACATTTCCTCTTACATATGAAAGAAAGGGAGAAATATGCCTGGCTGGAAGTGAATATGAGAAATAAAGAAAAATCATCCTTTAGAACAAGACAAATCTATTATCAGAAGCCAGAGGTAGATCAAAGTTATCTGTACACTCCAGACTGCCTGCCCTGACAGGTTGGCTTAGCTGGTGCCAGTGAGAGCGGTGCTATCACTGTGGTTCTAAGCTCACTTTCCTCCTCAAAGTCTCAGAATCACCAGCTCACTTCCATGCCTGATGCTTGCTTCCCAGGAGAGGATAAGGAGTGCAGGGAGACACCAACCTCAGAGACAGCAATTTCAGTGAGATTGCAAAACCTCTCCACTTTAACAAGCTGAGCACTTTAGACACTGGTATTACTTATGTAAGAGTAATGAGTGAGATGCTCAAGGCCTATGTTCAAATCCTGATTCTGCTTTTTATTCTGAACCTCAATATCCTTGTCTGTAAAGTGGGGATTGTAGTGCCTACTATTTAGGAATTGTTAATATTTGTGAAACTCTTATGATTATTAAACTTAGCATATTAAAATTTCATTTTATATAATGGTTTTCCAGCAAGATGCAGCTAAGAGTATCAGATTGGAGTTTCTCCTAACAATTTCACGTTTTGACCTCATTTATTTTTTAATTCAAGATCTTAAGCAATGCATCATAAGTAACTAACACTCTTAAGTCTCCATGGACGAGGACAATGCACAAATGTTAAAATGGGGCTCTTCTAGCACTGTGTGAGATTCAGTATTTCTCAATAGGAGTGTGTGGTACTAGAAAACACTGCTTAACACCACTTCCGCTTACTGAACAGAAATTTCAAGGCACCTATGCAAAAAAAAAAAGTCCATTTATCATCTCTGCCAATGTTGGACGGACGAACGAAGGCCGGATTAGAAAATGAGTATGTCTATAATGTACAAAGCTGCTGTCCTAGAGTCAGACTCTGTCAGGGTCCCAGAACAGGCACTGTCATGTCCCAGGCAGGAAGGACAGCCGCCCTCAGAGAACCAGGAGGGAGCCCAGCAGCAGCTAGCCCTGGCCCAGCAGGCAGCCCCGCTCCAGGCCTTGCCCCTTGAGCTCGGCCTTGATGCGCAGGGCCAGGCAGCGCACCTGCTCCTCGCTGAGGCCATCAAAGCAGAAATCCTGGTCCAAGGCGGCCTTGCGGCTGCGCCGAAACCCCCGCTCTGCGCATGCGCACGGCGCCCTGCGCCTGTAGGACCAGGCTGAGGCGGCAGCCGAGGGCGCGGGGCTGGAGGGCGCCTCCTGCTGGGCCCTCGATGCACAGCGGCCGGAGGCGGAGGCGCCTGCTGCCGCGAGTGTACTCTGCTACCAGGGGCAGGGTGCCGCCGGCGCGGCTCAGAGTAACTGTGGCCTCAACCTGCAGGCGCTCGGGCCACGGGCCTGGAATTGGCGACCGGCACGCGGGCTCTGGGGAGACACCACGCTCGTCCTTGTCGTCCCCGCTGCACACGGAGCGGGCGCGGGACAGACCGCGACTGCTGCGGGATCGGAGCACGCGGCTCAGCAGCCGGTCGGGGACGCGCAGGAGGCGGCGGCCTCGGGACATTGTGGCGATGACATACCGGGGTGGCCTAGTGCTGGCAAGGGTAGCGCCGCAGCCTGGTCCTCCGTCGCCACCGTCGCTACCACAGGTGTGAGCCCGGGTCTCGGCCGCAGAGGAGCACAGCAGCGCGGCGGCGCCAGCGTCCCCGAGGAAGAGCGACTCCTTGCGGCGCGTGTGCGGGCTCTCCAGCAGCGCGCAGAAGCCATAGGCGGTGCGGGCGCGGGGCAGGTGCGGCAGCGAGAGCGCCGCCTGTGAGCGAGGGTCCCAGTCCGTGCGGCTTGCTCCCTCGTCCATCGCAGCCTGTTCACCCCAAGAATTCCGGAGAGCTGCCAAGGCCAGGCAGGGCTCAAGTCTCGGGGGGATGCAGAACTCCGGGATGCGGTCTGGAGTGAGCACGTTTGCGCACGCAGCCGGCGAGGGGGTCTTGGCCTTGCGGACCCGACCCGACAGAAACCCGTCCCTGTCCCTCAGGAACCTCTGGAAACACCACATCTGGGAGGCAGGTGCTGAATCGGGTACACTCTGCTGGAGATGTCTGTCTGCAAGGCACAAACGCACACCAATCATCAGAGGAGCCCTACAGAAAACAGCAATTTCTGTCCCCTTTCTTCCACTTAGGGATATTTCTCTTCCGGGACACGCCACACCCTTCTTACTCTAGTTTTGGAAATCTATATTGAAAAACAATCTTTTTTTTCCACTCCGTTGTCATGTGTACTTCGGAGCTTGTTGATTTTATTCTCAATCCTCCCTCTCTGGCCTAAGGCAGAGATTCACAATATATTGGCTTCTGATGTTGGTTGCTCTGACCTCAGTACCAAGAAGCATTTTGCTCTGTGTATGCGTTTCGTGAATCCTTAAGGTGCTCTTGCACTTCAATCCTCACAGAGAATTAAAATAATTTATATCCCTTGTCATTCTCCCCCTTTAGGCACAGAGAGCCCCAGATAAATACCCAATCCCCAGAGAACTAAGCAGTCCACTAGGTCCCCCCTCATGTACCTTGGGTTCTGCCTGGGGCACAGAACCAGAGAGGCGCCCAGCGTCTGAGAAATTGAAAGAGCAAGGGGCTGGGTTCAGCACCAGTGTCCAGGACAGCTGGAGTGTGAGCCTTTATACCAGCTGTTGCCTGCAGAACTGCCAGGTAACCTGAAGCCAGGCCCTCCCAAGGCCCTGGGCCACGTGGCTAGATTTGCTGAGCAGATCCTGGTGCCAGTTTTCTCCTGCATTGTTGGGAAGTGTTCTCCTCCCAAAAACCCTGAGCAAGTTTGTTTCCCCATGTGCTAAAGAGGACTAAGTCTGGACCATACCACACAGTCTCATTATGAAGATGGACAAACAAAATGAACAGAAACACATAGCCCTTCAAAAGAAGACAGAAATCATCGGGTTTGTCTTGCTCTCACCTAATGCCCTTTCCCAAATCCAACCTTCCTTCTCTCTAGCTTAGGAAATTCTTAACTGGCTTTCTGGTTTTTCAGTTCTGATTTTAGATGCTCTTTGTTGATTTTAAATCTCTCTGAGCTAGGGGATGACCCTTACAGAGTGCCGGAAAGGTTCCACATGTTGACTTGGGTGGAGTTACAAGGGTGTATCCATATGTGAAAAAGATCACTTACTGTACATTTAAGATTATGACACTTTATCGTGTGTGTAATATGCTTCAATTAATAAAGAAACCTACTTAAAGCTGTGTGCTGGTTTTCATTTAGGAAAATACACTCCTTCATACATGTGGGCTATGTGTCATCCTTTGGAGGCACCTGGATAACAATAACCTTTGCACGTTGCGCCTCCTTACAGATTCTTTCCCTTTCTTTTGAAAACTTATTTTTGTCCTGTATAGTTTCTTCCATATAGCAAGGGGTAAAAGATCTGAAGTATTTTGATTCAGGGTTTGGTTTCTCGAATTTCAAAGATGCTGTTTTGCAAATTAGTTACTTCTTCAAGTAATGTTGAGTCCATTAGGCTGAATTCATACAAAGGTGACTTCAGTATAGAACGTACGTATTTTGTTTCTAGAACACACAGGCTCTGTGCTAGATGATCTACCATTTCCAGAATTGTCCCAGAAACCCTGCAAATTCTGATCATCCTTGTTGAAGAGATGAAAAATTGAGATTCAGAGATTAAGTAACTTATCTATGGTCTCAAAGTGATGGAAGATGGGGTGGGGGGATACCTACCTAGTAAATGTTTAGGGGACTAACATAACATAAAATATGATGCACCATGCCTGGAACATAGCAAATGCCAAATACATAGAAGCATTATGATCGACAAGATAGGAGGAACATTGGAGATAGTGGTTAAGAAAATTGGGTCTGAAATCATGTCTGATCTTGATTCCAGAATGGTAGCTTACTGTGAGCAAGTTACTTAATCTTTCTGAGGGTCAAATGTAACACTGGTAATAATATCCACTCATCGGTTTGTTATAGGATTAAACAAGATAGTGCTTATGAAGTGGTTAGCATAGAACCAGATGTGAATAATGTCAAATATTATATTTATTGTTATGAAAGACAACAAAAGCTCATTAGTTCATTCATTCATTCATTCATTCATTCAAAAGCAGTACATTTGAATCTTCCTGGGTTCCAGTTACTATGCTAGGCAGGTGGGTCTAGGATGTTCTTGCCCATCAAAAGAGGAAGGAAATGAAGATGACATATTTGAGTTCCATATGGCTGAGGGAGGAGTAAGAAAAGACTTCTGAACCCTTTTTTAAGTTTGATTTGGCAGGCAAGATTGGAGAGTGTCCCTGGGTTTAAAATGACCATGACTAGCTTGTTTCATTGATGTTGCTGTAGTTGTAATACTGAGGTTTGAACTCAAAGCCTCACATTTGCTGCGAGGCAGGTGCACTACCACTTGAGCTGCACACACAGACATTTTTGATTTAATTATTTTTATAATAGAGTCTCACACTTATTCATGAATGGGCCTGGCCCTAATCCTCCTATTTAAGTTTCTGTGTAGCTAGGATGACAGGCATGAGTCATCAGTCCTCACTTTTATTGGTTGAGATGGGTTCTGGCTAACTTTTTTGCCCTGAATGTTCTGGAACTGTGATCTTCCAAATCTCTGCCTCTTGAGTAGCTAGAATTACAGGCATGAGCCACTGTGCCTGGCTCAGCTTCTTTACTTGATATTACACCTATTCCTAAATCTGTGGGAGAATTATTACCAAATTACACACTTGAAGTCCATGTGCATGTGCTCTGACTCAACTTTTCTCAAGAGACAAGATGACTTAGCTCTGTGAGAGCAGAAAGACCTTGGTAAAATGATGAAGGGTAAATCAGAGATCACACTGAGAAGTTGTTACTCTGGTTCACTACCTTGTGTGAGTCCATTGTTAAATGAACATAGTATAGTAATGTACACCATACAGAACCCTTGTGGTAGTTAAAAAGATAAGTGGGATCTGGCAGAGTGGCTCGAGTGGTAGAGTGCCTGCCTAGCATTTGTGAGTTCCTGAGTTCTAACCCCAGGAACACAGACACACACACACACACACACACACACACACACACACACTATGTAGGAATATACTAAGCAGGTAGCAAGTTCTGGCTCACAGTTAGCTGTTATTAATAGTACTGAGTGTGGTTTTTTTTTTTTTAGGTCAAGAATTTAGGGCCAGCCAGGGAGATTCCCAGAGAAAAGTTTCCAAACAAGGATGAAGAAGAGGAGGAGGAGAAGGAAGAGAGATCTGCAGTAAATAAAATAAACTCTCACTTGTTAAATTGCGATGGTAGATGCAAATATGTCTGGTATATTGTGTTCTTTTGAAGACTGTTGGTAGCCCTTCCACTCTGTGTGAACACAGTCAAAGGATAGTACATTATAGGAAGAAAGCAAGTCCTTTCCACACACTGAATTTCATGAAGCCTGATCTTGAACTTTCAAACCTTCAAACTTTGAGAAATAAAAGTTCTGCTGTTTATAAACAACCCCATTCTGGTATTATGTTATAGCAGGACAAAGGGACCCCTCCACACACACACAGAAATGCCTCCATCTTTCCCTTCTATCAAAAGGATGTTTTCTCTGCATATGGGAGTCTTGGCTGATGGTTTATCAGTTTGCATATATCAACCCACTGCCTTCTGGGTGCAAGACTTCTGATGAGAAATCAGAGGAGGACCTTTTGGGAAAATCACAGTGAAGCCCTCTTTCTCCCAGGCTCACATATGTTAATAATATGCCCATGGTGCCTTAGGGACAAAGCATTTTGGTATGGTATCACCATGTGCATAAAAGGTACCATTGTTTGGACACTAATCCAATCACTCGGGGTTTAAAGAGAAAGGAATTGAATATCCTGAGTGTAGATAGAATGAGATGTATAAAATCAAATTCTTAAGAACTTTTCAGATTTGCAATGAGAAGCCACTGAATCATGATACTGACTTTAATTTTTTGTGAGTAAATGAGAGTTTCTATTACCAAGCTATGGCAAGAACTTTTGGAGCCTTCTAAAATTAAAGAGCAATTAAGAGTGGTTGCAGCCCAACACACCCAACACTGATGAATCAATTTCTTGCTTGGACCTCAGAAGGACCCATTGTGATGGAATAACAACTGCATGTATATAAGGAGGTGGCCTGGGCTGGATTTTTGCTCATATTATGCAGGGAGCTGGTTTGGTGACCTGCTAGAGAGTATTCACAGTCTTAGCGTTGGTGTTTGTTCATTGTTCTTTGTTGTGGTTTTGTGTTTTAGTTAGCTTTGTTCCAATGAGTGGTGACTGTCCTAAGTGGCTGATTGGCCACTTGGTTAGCTCCACTAAGGATGTCCTGACCTCTCGCTATCAGGTCACAAGGAACATCGGTAGTGGCAGCTTCAGTCTATCACCGTGACACAGGGACCAATGTCGCTGTGAAAGTGCTGAAGAAAGGAAAATGCAACTCTTACATCAAAGGGGAGTTGTCCATTTTGAAGACGCTACAGCATCCCAACATTGCTTGTCTCATTGAGGTGAAGGAAACAGTAGAGAGGGTTTATCTCATCCTTGAATACGCAAGTCGGGGGAACCTGCTACAGTATGTTCAAAAGTCCCACCACCTGCAGGAGACCAAGGCCCACGAATTTTTCAGACAAATTTGTTGGGGATTGGCTTATTGTCACCAGCAGGGTGTCGCACACCTAGATGTTAAGCCCAATAACATTTTGTTGGATTCTACCTACACAATCAAAATCTGTGATTTTGGAATGAGCACCAGGTTCACAGTAGGAGAGCAGCTGTCTCAGGCAGGTGGTGCTTGGTCACCTGTGCGCCTGAAATGTTTCTTTATGGTAAGTACCACGGCCTCAAGGCCAATGCCTGGAGCTTGGGAGTGGTACTCTACTTCATGACTGTGGGAGGTTTCCCCTTTCAGGGCAGAGACTTTAAGGAGATTTGCAAAAATATCCTGCATGCAAAGTATCACCTTCCAAGGCGTGTTTCTGCTGAGTTAAAAAACATCCTAGGTCATCTGTTGACCTGTGACTCCAGCCAGAGGGCCACGGTGGAGGAGATCCTGGAGCACACCTGGGTCCACCAGGATTCTCCCAGTCCTCCTGTCCAGACCCTGGCTGCATCCCTGAACCCCTCCATACTGTCGGGCATGATTGCCATAGGCTATGTATGACTCTAGTGAAATTCTACAATCACTACAAAATAGAGAAATAAATGACACCACTGCGATGTACCTTTTGTTTGAACAGCAGGCACGCCAGGAGTCTGATGGCACTCTGAAACTTGATCCTATACAACCAGCAGTTCCACTTTGCCCATCTCCTGCAGGTCTTTCCACTTGTCCTCACCTGCTAAGAGGAGAGCTAGTACACCTGCAAGTCTTAGCTCCTCCTTCCTAACAAGAATCTTCCTGCCCACCAGTCCCCTCTTCACCCCACAGAGGAGGAGCCCAAGCACTAGCAGAGTTCCCCTGCATGCTCCCATGGACCCCGAAGGAGGCAAGTCATCTGAGCATAAGTGCTCTGCAAAAAAATGCCCTTCCAGTTGGGCAGCCCCAGGATGTGATCAGAGGCGCTGCACCCAACAGGAGCAGGGGCTGGAGAGGAGCCGCCAACAGAATAGTCACCACCCTTCTCAGAATATGCTGCTTTCTTTCCTGCTCTAAAAAATGCCACCAATGAGGTCAAGAGGAAGACAATGGAGAGCAAGAGGACCTTACCACAGCCCTGGGGGGGATTACCTCCCCAGGTGTGGACTGAAACAGAAACAATTGGTGGGGCTGGGCATAAGTTCAGCTAGCCGGTGCCCAGTAAGCCCCAAAATTCACATACACTGGCACCAGGTACACCCAGCAAAGGTGTCCACCCCACCTAGGGAAAACTGCAGAGTCAGAAAAAGGTAAGTTCCAGGGGCCCAAAAGTGAGACACCCACTCTACGTGGGACCTAACCCTGATGGTCCATTTCCTGCTGTGACCTCCAAGGAGCCACTGTAAAGGAGTGTGTAAGGAGATGGACTTGGTTCCATTTTTGTTCACTAGTGCAGGGAGCTCTTACTTTGTGACCTACTAGACACACAGAGCTAGTGTGTTTGTGGTTTTGTGGTTTGGTGTTTGTTTTTGCTTATTTTTCTTTGTTATTTTATTTTTTGTTGTTTGATTTTTTTGTTTTTGTTTTGTCTGTTTTTTAGTTATCTTGAATCCTTGTCTCAACTTTCTGATTTCTGCAAATATCACAGGAACTTCAAAACCATAATGAGAAGCATTTTGAGAGTTTACCAAAAAGGAACCTCACAAAAAGGAAAACTCACAAAGTGGTTTTCTGGCTAGTATTTATTTAGCAAAACAGAATAAAGTAGGGAGGAGAAATAGAATTGGAAAGAGGGGTAGGTCCTGCTGATATGCAGGATTTGGGAGCAGGGAGGTTCCAATAGTATTCTTATCATGCTTGTTTGCTTGGCCAAGGATTAGCTGATTCACACAGTGGTCCTTTAAAAACATTTCTCTGCCCATCCATGCAAAACAGATTTGCATGGGCACGTGAACTAAACAGAACTTTCTCAAAAGAAGAAATTCAAATGGCCAAAAAACACATGAAAAAATGCTCACCATCTCTAGCAATAAAGGAAATGCAAATTAAAACCACGCTAAGATTCCACCTCACCCTGTTAGAATAGCCATCATCAGCAACACCACCAACAACAGGTGTTGGCGAGGATGCGGGGAAAAAGGAACCCTCTTACACTGTTGGTGGGAATGTAAACTAGTACAACCACTCTGGAAAAAAATTTGGAGGCTACTTAAAAAGCTGGACATCAATCTACCATTTGATCCAGCAATACCACTCTTGGGGATATACCCAAAAGACTGTTACTCCAGAGGCACCTGAACATCCATGTTTATTGCGGCACTATTCACAGTAGCCAAGTTATGGAAACAGCCAAGATGCCCCACCACTGACGAATGGATTAAGAAAATGTGGTATCTATACACAATGGAATTTTATGCAGCCATGAAGAAGAACAAAATGTTATCATTCGCTGGTAAATGGATGGAATTGGAGAACATCATTCTGAGTGAGGTTAGCCTGGCTCAAAAAAACCAAAAATCGTATGTTCTCCCTCATATGTGGACATTAGATCAAGGGCAAACACAACAAGGGGATTGGACTATGAGCACATGATAAAAGCGAGAGCACACAAGGGAGGGGTGAGGATAGGTAAGACACCTAAAAAACTAGCTAGCATTTGTTGCCCTTAACGCAGAGAAACTAAAGCAGATACCTTAAAGCAACTGAGGCCAATAGGAAAAGGGGAACAGGTACTAGAGAAAAGGTTAGATCAAAAAGAATTAACCTAGAAGGTAACACCCACGCACAGGAAATCAATGTGAGTCAATGCCCTGTATAGCTATCCTTATCTCAACCAGCAAAAACCCTTGTTCCTTCCTATTATTGCTTATACTCTCTACAACAAAATTAGAAATAAGGGCAAAATAGTTTCTGCTGGGTATTGAGGGGGGAGGAGAGGAAGAGGGCGGAGTGGGTGGTAAGGGAGGGGGTGGGGGCAGGGGGGAGAAATGAACCAAGCCTTGTATGCACATATGAATAATAAAAGAAAAATGGAAAAAAAAAAAACAAAACAGATTTGCTTTTGTTTTAATAAAAACACCTCAGTATTCCTTCAAAACAGTTGAGATGTTCTGTGGCGTCCCTGGTGTCCTGTGATCAAAATAAGCCTCATGTCTTATTTAACATGGAAGCATGAGCCACCCAGTCCTGAGAAGACGGTATTCCAGTGAGGCCGAGTGCCTGGACCTCACAAATCTAATCAGAGGACGACTGTGGTAGCCATAGGAACATCCAGTAGTGAAGATGCAAATGATTTTGTGAAGTGAACTGAGATTACACAGCATTTTGAGGCTGGGAGGTGCTCTCCGAATTAAAGGAAATTGAACACTGGGAAGCACACTTATTGGGAAGGAAGAATGGGGAAAAACTACACGATGGGTTCAGTGTGTAAAAGAAGCATAAGTTATAGTGTTCTAGGGCATAGTGGGGTGAATATAGCTATCATTTATGTATTGTAGATCAAAATAACTGGAAGAGAGCACTCTGAATACTTATTTGTAGAAACAATAAAAGTTGAAAACGGTGGATATGCATAATTACCCTGTGTAGATCATTTCCCAATGTATACATGAATCAAAACATCACATTTCATTGTACCTAGTAAAAGTGTACAATTATGTGTCAGTCAAAAAATAAGAAAAGATTTACAAAAGTAATACACAGGAGGGTGAGTGTCAAGAGAAGCAAAAAGAGAGTTTATAAGGAATGAATACAATACCAATGTTCTGACTTACACTTCTCATTCAATCCAACTGAGTGTGAAGTACTAGAAAACACAGACCAGGGTGCCAGGTCATTTGTATTTTAGCCCTGTCACTAATTTGAAGGGCATTGGGCAAATCCCTTAGTTCTTTCAGGTACTTAGTGTTTCCTTCTGTCAAATGAGGGTGCTGGGTTAGCCAGTTGCTCTGTAAGCTTCCCTCTGCCACTAATACTGTGCTATCCACTTCTGTCTCTTACTTAACTTTCCTTAGTTTTCATACATTTCATGGTGTCATGGCTTATACTTAGCTTTGTGCGGTTGAGTAATGGTGTGTATGTTGGGGTACTGGACATGGTGGGTCATTCTTGTAAGCCCCTCTATGCAGGAGGCAGTCCAATGCTGGTCCAGCAAGCATGAGGCCAAGTTCAATTCCAGCACTAACAAAAAATGAAGAGATTTTAAAAAAAATTTTAAGAATTGTTACTTTTTGAAAGGTGTCATCTAGTTTTCACTTTTTTTCTTTTTTGGCAGTGCAGGGGTTTGAACTTGGGACTTGGCATTGGTAGGAAGGTGCTGTACCACTTGAACCACCTGCCAGCCCTTTTTGTGATGGGTTTTTTTAGAAGTAGGGTCTCAAGAACTATTTGCCAGAGGCTGATTTTGAAATGTGATCCTCCTTCCTCTGCCTCCTGATTTTTTCTTTTGTATACTGTACAAGTGTATATTGTTTACCCTTTCCCACCTTATGTCAACGTTGCAGCAAGACATTTAATATATCCTTGTGACTGTAAGTAATCTTAGCATGTCTTAGAAGTTCATTGTATGTCAACAGCTTTTTGAAAAATATTTACGAAAATATGTTTCAGAGTGAAAACAAAAAAAAAAGCCTTCAGTTCTGTAAAGAGAGAATTGGTTTGTCAGCGGGAGGTTCAATTTCACCAGCCTTAAAAGCTCTGCTTTGAATGTCCTGCCAGGCAGTCAGATGAGGGACAGCGTGGCACAGTCATATAGAAATAAGAGGTAACTCACAGTTCAAGAAAGAGGTTGGCTGTTATTTTCGTAATGGGTAGAAAATGAAAAGAAGTGACTTGTGAATTAACTAAGCTTGATGTCAGAGGGAGAAACTTTGCGGTTCCAAGGCAACGCATTTTGGGGTCCTATTCTACCTTGCCATCTTGATGCAGCTGTGCCCCCTTCCCGCTTTTCAATGATCAAAGTGTGTTTCTGAGCAGCAGCTTCAGGAAGCTGCGGCTTCGCGGCAGGTGGAGTGGGACCCCCCCCCCCGCCCCGGTAGGGCGGCCATGTCCAGCTATATTGCTGGCAGCACCCTTTTCTCCCCGGGTCGTGAGCGCCGCTTTGACAAACGCTGAATCTCCTGCTTGTTGGCCGCGGGGTTGGGTGGGCGGGGTCGGCGACCACGTGCGCCTGCGTACTGGCGACGTCACGCGGGCGCGCGAGGCGCGTCGTGGGGCGGGCGGGGCGTTGTGATCCGCGGCGGGGGTCGCAGCTCTCAGCGACTCTGTGGTTCCGGCTCCTCCCCCTCCTCGCCGCGCCTAGGCTGGCTCATCATGGTGCTGGAGTCGGTGGTCGCGGACCTCCTGAACCGCTTCCTGGGGAACTATGTGGAGAACCTGAACAAGTCCCAGCTGAAGCTGGGCATCTGGGGCGGTAAGCGCGAGGGCGCGGGGCCGCCGACACCCCGCCCCGCCAGGCCGTCCTCGGGCCTCGCGGGGAGGTGGGTGCGGGTGCCGGGCGGGTGAGAGCCGTGTGCTCGGGAGGAGGCGGGAGCGCGCCCTCGCCTCCCTGTCCTTTCCACGGGTCCCCGCGACCACCGCCGCCACGACCGACCTTGGGGCCCTTGCTCAGTAAAGCGGCTCCCAGGAAAAGAAAAGGAGATGGTCTTTCTCACTCATCTTCGCCAGCATCTCACAGCAGGCAGGAACTGGTCTTTTGCTCTGCAGGGCTTGGGGAGGGACAGGCAGGGAAGACAGGCCCATCCCCAGGGACTCTGCTGCCAGCTCCTAGGAAGTGGTTTCGTCCCTTAAAATCGACTTTTCCCTTAGCACGACGGGGACTTTCAGTTTTGTTTTGGAGCGCTAGAGCGAAATTCATGCCAGGACCAGCATCGTCACTTACTGGGTGTCTGCTTGGTTGTATGTTTAGGAAAGTCTGCCAAGGGGTTTATCCAGAGATTAAGTGCATCCAAATAGATAAGTACTGTACTTGGTCATTTCTTTAAAAAGCGTGGTTCGGACTGAGGATGTAGCTCAGTTGTAGAGCGCTTGTCTAGCATGCTTGAGGCACTGGGGTACATCCCCAGCACTGCAACATAAAATTAAAAAGCGTAAAGCTTAATTATTTGCTGGAATTCTGTGTTAAGCTTCGGGGATATTGGCAGTACTTTTTCGCCTTATATGAGATTTGGAGGGCAATCTCCATACTACTCACATGGCTGGAACTGCTTTTAATTGTCAACAAACACATCTTGTCAACAACAGATCTGGGCTGTCCGTCGCCATGATACCCTAAGGGTTCCACACCTTAAATGTGCTTGGTGCCAAACGAGACGTGTTCCAAATACAAAATGCACGCTGGGTTTGCATTAGGGGCGTTTCTCCTATGCACAGGAAAAAATAACAGTGTCTCAGTAATTTTTTAATGTTAGGATTATGTAATGAAATGATTGAAATTTTTCTTTTCCTTTTTGTTATTTTTTGGTCTTGCTCCTAAAATTAGAATTTCACGTACGTACTACACATTTATACTGGACAGTGCTGTTCGGTGCTGCCCTGAATTGTGGAGGAGCCTGTTTTTCATGGGTGACTGATAATTTTTTGGTTCACTGTGGTTTGCCCATAAATACACACTTTGCCCACTACCCCTTCCCCCCAGTATAAGAAAGGGAAGTAAAAGAAAGGTTGAAGGAACTAAATGTCTAGTGCCTTCTGCAGAGATCTGGCATTTTTTCAGAATATGGGCAGTAATACCAGTTATTCCTTGTTTGTAAACATTTGAAATTCAAAAAGCATCTGCTTAGCAAATGTGAAATCTGGAGAGCTCTGGATTCTAGGCCTCATGCTGTGCTGTGCTGGACAAGCCATTCATGTTACTGGACCTTAGTTTCTTAATGTAAACCTTCATAGAACAGTGCTTTTATATCCTGAAAACTTTGTGTAATTACCTGGCAATATGATATTCATATGTCACTGTCACTACTCCCCAGGTGAATCTGTTTAATGAAATGAAGTGCATAGATACAGTGACCGTCCCTTCAGCACCAAATTTATCTTTAAAATTAGAGGTTGGACATAGTGGCATCTGACGGGCCTTGCAGTATCAATATCCTGTGATTCCAACTGTCCATGTTTTTACTGTGACATTGAGTGCACTGCCTGAAGATTTTGACTGAAATTCAAGAATCATAAGTTTAGGCCATTTCCTCCTATCACTTTTGGGTGAAATCTAGGAATGGAGACTTTTTTTCTTTTATGCTATTTTCTTTTTGGATGAAATTAGTTGTGGTGGTGGGACTGAACCCCAGTGCCTCATACAGGACAGACAGCCCTCAACCCTGAGCTGTACCCTCTACCTCATCCTATTTTCTGTGTGTTAGAATAAGGTATTCTGCCTGGAATCTACATTAACTGTACAACAGGCCTGAGCAAGTCAATCCATTTCTTTCACAAATGGTCCAGTGAACATTCATTTAGCTATTCCCTGAGTTTATCATCCCACAGCTCTGCTTTTAGAAAGATGTGCTGTGTTATTTTTGTGACTGCTGTATAAGCTAGAAGTCATGTGCTTTTGCAGTTATTGCTCAATAGATTGTCTTAGAACCCTAATTCCCCTTCAGATAGAAAGAACATATCTGAGTTAACTAATTCTGTTCTTTGAAAATATGCTGAAGAAATTAGTCTTAAATGTTTTAAGGTAAACAAAAGGGAATATTCATTTAATAAAATAGCTGATACGACATCTGGTTGGTGTTGACAGTTTTAGGAGAATTGAAAGTTTTATGTAGATTTACTTGCAAACTATTTGCATTAGCAAATAAGGTTTACATGTTTGTGAATTTGGTTTTCATGTTGAGTTTTCAAGTGTTCAGAAAGGGAAGAAATTCTGTAGAAATTTCACATACTTGTTCTCACTGTTTTTGGAGATAAGTTGCTATTCCTTAACTGGAGTATTTAACTCTGCTAAGGCAGTGGTTTTCAATGGGGGAGGACTTTGTTTCCTTGGGCGATATTGGCAATGTCTAAGATAGTGTTAGTGTCACATTGAGGGCAGACGTGTGCTGCTGGCATATGTTGGATAGGCCCCAGGGATACTGCTAAACATCCTGCAGTGCAGTGGACAGTTCTTTGTAATGCAGAATTACCCAGTCCCAAATGTTAGTTTAGGACCGCTGGTTTAAGGAAAAAACTGACACTGTCTCCTGCATTTAAAGGAGGCCTACTGGATGGTGAACACATCTTAATAAGGAGTGAAAGAGGACTTAGAGAAAACATACTGTTCTTAAGAAATTTCTAATGAGAGAAACAAATGTCTTTGAGAAGTGACAGAAAGGTACCATGCCAGTAAAAATGCATAATATTGCTTAGATCTCAGGAATTACTGTGTTAACAAGGCTTCAAAAAGATTAGGCAGTGTTTATGCTGATGCATATACAGGCATTCACAATGAAATCTACAGTAAAGTAGAAATTGTACAGTGAAAATGATGGGAAAAATCATTGGAAAGTCTAGAATCAGGATGTAAACTCTGGATGTTGCTTTTAAATTGGAGAAGCAAAAACAAGCGAACAAAAACAACCACATCAAAAACAAACAAGCAAAACAGAAACACTACTGTTTTCTTTAAAGACCTTTTTTTTTTTTTTTTAATGCCAAGCTATTGAGAAAAATGGATCTCTGATTATTTACTAGCTGGGGAGAACATTTTAGTTTTTTTAGCCTCAATTTACTAATGTGTGAAATTGCTATGTAACACTCACTGTGTTTGTGATAAAAATGATGTAAAAATCCTTTGTAATTGTTAATAACAAAAGACAGTGATGATAAACAAACCTATCTGAGTAGATAGGAAACAATGTGCTTTACTTTCTTTCGTTTTCCTAAATTTTGTCTAGCTTCAGACTCCTGGGTTTTATATTCTCTAGTGTAGTATTTTGTGTGGGAGTGAAATTTGAACTCAGGCTTTGTGCTTGGAAAGCAAATGCTTTACTACTTGAGCCACATCTCCAGTCTGTTTTGTTGTGGTTATTTTGGAGATGGGGTCTTGAGAACTATTTGCTCAGGCTAGAGTTGAATCATGATCCTCCTGATCTCAGCCTCTCAAGTAGCTAGGATTATAGGCATGAACTACTGGCATCTGTCTTGTAGTGTGGTAATTATGTATAGAGCTAACATTGCATATCTAAACGTTTCTTATTTTCCAAACAATTCTTACAAGATAAAAGAAAAAAAAAACTCTTTAAATTTGCACTTGACAATACTTAAACATTTGCTCCAACAGTTTGTAAGTCAGGTTTCCAAAGATAAGAAAAGTGCCTGGTGGGCATGTGCTGCCTGGGCATAAAGCAAAATTCATGTGGTTTTTGTTCCCCATTGACTGGTACCAGGACATAATCACATAGGTCTTAGCTATTTGAGCTGTGTCCAGGACATAATTGTTTATGAGTAATATACATTTGAAAAAGCATGTTGAAATACCAGATCTTTTGCAATTTGGCTTAAATAGAACTGTTGCTTAAGTAGAATGTTTGTCAGTTTGATTTTTCAAAGTGATTTACTGTAGAGGAGCTGGAAAATCCTCCATTTAGAATTCTGCTCTCACTTCCACTGGACAAGTAGAATAAAGTAGTGGCTGAGATGTATGGGATACAAGGGGTGTCTGTGGTGACAGGAATAGGGGCCAAAGAGAAATAGAAAGTTGATGTTTTTGGTAACCATTCTGCCAGGAACCCATCTGCTCTACACAGGACCTTCAAATCCTGAAGTGCATTGAAAGGAGAAAGTTCATTTTTTGCCAACACTTCCTGTTTCAATAGGGAAATGGAAGAGTAAGATTGTTGTTTCCTTTCTCTCCATCTCCCTTTCTCTACACAGTAACTGCGAACTCCTACTAAAACAATCTAGATTGGTGAATTTTGAGTTAAATACTAAATTCCTTTGAAATGAATTGTAGTATTTTCTTCAATATTTACTAAATTGAGTTTTAAAAATAGTTTCCATTTAAAAATTCAAGTAATTTTCATTTCCTTGAAAATGAATGTCTAAACATTTTGATATACTTTCAAGTAAATGATGAATGCTTATGTTATAGATACATGAAAGAAATCTTAATAAATAAGGAGACAGCTCCATATATTCTTTTTTCACAGTTTCACACTATGTAAATGGATGAGGGCATGACCTTTTTATTTGTTGGTTGCCTTTTGTCTTTAGTCACAGTTTTGGATTAAGCTTTATGTTTTATTTTAAGAACATTGACCCAGGGAGTCAGGAGACACGGGTTTTATTAGAACTGTCACAAAGTAATTGTAGAACCTTGGACAAACCACCTCATCACTTTAGACTTCAGTTTCTTGTATAAAGTGAGGAGAAGGTTAGATTAAAGATCTGTATGGTATCCAATGGTGGTAAAATGCAACTTCTGAATTTCCTTTGTTTTGAAAAGAGTAGATTTTTAAAGTCCTGAAATGACCATTTTTAAAGTGCCATCTCCTGCATGTGTTTTCCCCTGTGGCATTGTCCTTTCTTCTGGTAGTGCTCCTGACATAAGCCCTTGACGCTGCCTTCCTTTTTGCTTATGCCTGTGTTGTGCTAATTTTAGAAACCCTTTTCATTGTTGAAGGTTTTTTTTTTTTTCACATCTCTTAAAATGAAGAGCTCAAATGTGGAATCTACAAATACACAGGCCACTCAAGGCTGGGTCTGATTCTTCCTTGCTATTGGTGTTTTTTCCCCCACAGGAAGTAGATTAACTGAGTTTAAATCCTGTACCCTTTCTGTTCTGCTGTTTGGAAGAGAGTGTGATGTTCTGAACACAGCATCGAGCATCGGAGGATTGGAGTGCTGACTGTCATTTACTAGGTCCTCATAGTATTCTTAGGCCAGTCATTTAACCTCATTAAGTCTTAGTTTCTCTTTTCTAATAAAGATGTCCTTGTCTCCTGCCCAAGAGGCTGTGAGAATCTAGTCATGTGATAGAACTGAAAATGTTTTCTATACAAGGTTATTTTTATTTATTTATTTTTTGCTGGAGATTGAATCTATGGCCTCATGCATGTTAGGCATGACCTATGTCCCCAACCCCTTTGGGGTTTTTTTTGAGATAGGGTCTCCCTAATTTTGCAAGGGCAAGCCTCAAATTTTTGATGCTACCTCCCAAGTAGCTGGGATTATAGGTGTGCACACAATGCTTGGCCTAAATTTACATTCTTATTGTAGTTACTTCCACCCCACTCCAGCATTAAATGCACTCTAAATCAGTTAAAAGAGCATTGATTGAATACCTGCTATGAGGAAAAGAAGTAAGGAGCTCACAGTGAGGTTGGGGATTTATACAAAGTTAAGTGATAAGTACTGGTAAATGTACAGCATAAACTGCTGTGGAAATTTGGAGAGATTATTTCTGGTGGGAGGTGTTTGACATCACTACATTTCTTGCGTTCATTTTGGAGGTTCTTATGTGTTTAAAAGGCATTCTTGGACTTAGGCTTGTTACATGTCAGTTCCATTTGATTCATAAATACATTAACTTGTTTGTTTTCTGTAAGTTAGAAACTATTCCTTTCTCTTTTTTTCTTTTTAAGATAATTCTAACCCTTGTTGTCATTTTGTAATTTAATGAGATTTACTATCTTTCCCACCTTCTGGCTTATTAACACAAATTATCAGTTATTATTTTTTTTTGTTGTTGGACTGGGGTTTGAATTCAGCTTCATGCTTGCAAAACAGTCCCTCTCTCCTGAGCCACCCTTCTAGTCCATTTTGCTCTTGTTATTGTAGAGATGGGGGTCTTGTGAACTATTTGCCTGGACTGGCTTTAAACCACGATCTTCCTGTTCTCAGCCTCCCAAGTAGCTAGGATTATGGGTGTGAGCCACCGGCACCAGTTTATTAGGTACATTTTGAATAGGGTTTATCCTTTCATGGGTATTTCTTAAGATATCCTTCAAGATGGGCTTTGATTTTTTATGTGTCACTTTTCAGTAGCGTGTGCTCATCCACAATGTTTGAGCATTGTATGGAGGCTTCTGTGAAGCAAGAACATACCTGTAGCTTTTCTAATTCTTAAGGCCTGCCATTCCTGCTCAGGAGACCACAGAGCTTTCCTGCCTGTCCCATACTTTGGTCTCAGGACTTTATGAGGTTGAGGTCCACTTGATGGTGGGATTGGCTGTATTTGTTTCCTTGTTGGCAGTCAAGTGTATCTATCTCCCTTAATTAGTCATCCTGACACCTCCCCACCCTTTTTTTCCCTTAAAGCTTAGACACAAATATTTGCTTTTCTGTTCTTTTTTTTTTGTAGAAACTTCCTGTGGCCTTTGTGTGTTTGTATCCCTGGTGTCTAGCTATAACAGTAAGTTACTTGTATGTGTATACAATTCCTCCCTTCTCTTTTATTAGACTCAGCTCCTCCTTCATGCAAATAATTATAGAATGGAGATCTATATTACTGTTTCGTTAAGTCAAACACTGTTTTTAACAGAATATGTATGCTTTGTTAGACTCTGGATAGCAGAAATATCTTTGTTATTTTTGTGTATTTGTAATATAAGGTATAGGAAAATTTATATAAAATATTCATCATATTGACTTTAAATTTATCTTCATTTATTTTCCCATTTCCTTTATCGTTATTTGTATCATAATTCACATAAAAGTAATATTGAGGTGGCATGTTGTGCATCCTGTATTCCCATTATCCGGAGGGGTATATCAGGATATTGTGGTTTAGGCCAGCCATCAAAAAAAACTATTGAGACTCCATTCAATAACAATCTAGCATAGTGGCTCATGCCTGTAATGTTTATCGGCAAAATGAGAGACTATTTGAAAAACTAACTAAAGCAAAAAAGCTAGAGCACAGCTCAATAGTAGAGTGCCTGCCTAGCAAGTGTGAGTCCTGAGTTTAAAACTCCATACTGCCAAAAAAAGTAGTATATAATACTGAAAACCATTAAGTAAAAAATAAATCTTAATCCTGCCACCCATACAATCACTTAATACTCTCCCTATAAGTTTCTAATATACTTCTAAACTTTTGTTACCATATTGTATATTCACTAATCAACCTATCAAATATCACCAATTACTCTTCAAAGAACCAAAGATCAGTGCAGTCGAAACAGCCCTCTCTGTAGAGACAATTCCTGATACTCACACATGTATTATCCTTACCAACTTTTGTGCATATAACTCCTTAGCACTCCTGTGGAACTTAACCCATCATTAGAGTCTCTGGAGGAAAGCTCATGCACAGGTTTGCAAGTCTCCATATGGCCCTTAGCCTTGTTAACTATGTTGAATGGCTTAAATTAAGCACCACCAGCTGTGTAGATCCCTCTGCTGCATGAACAGACGTCCCAGTTGTAATTTTATACAATTCATAGTGACAATCACTTATACTCTCCCTATAAGTTTTCTAGATATACTTCTTTAACTTTGTTAGCCATATTGGTAATATTCACTAATCAACCTATCAAATATCACCAATTACTTCTTCAAAGAACCAAAGATCAGTGCAGTCGAAACAGCCCTCTCTGTATGAGGACATTCCTGATACTCACACATTTGTATTAGTTCCTTACCAACTTTTGTGCATATAACTCCTTAGCACTCCTGGTGAACTTAACCCATCATGTGAGAGTCTCTGGAGGAAAGCTCATGCACAGGTTTGCAAGTCTCCATATGGCCCTTAGGCCTTGTTAACTATTTGAATGGCTTAAATAAGGCACCACCAGCTGTGTAGATCCCTTCTGCTGGCATGAACAGAGGTCCCAGTTGTAATTTTATACAATTCATTGTGTAATATCAAACCAGAAATATTTATCTAAGTTTTGTAATATTAGAGCGTGTAGTACTTTAGGTTTTTTTCCCCAGTGCTGAGTACCTGTTAGTCTTCCATGATTACTTTAGTACCCTGACATCTGGGCAGTGATGATGCCTGTCAGTTCTGCCTCCCAGATCTTTCTTTCCCATGACCCTACACCTTTGACCCTGAACTTATTGCCTTATTTTAGGTTTTAATTTCTTTTCAGTGTGTTATAGAAGCTGGTGGATTACATTCTTTCCTTTCTCTCTTAATCATAATGTTGTAGTGTTTTTTTGCCCATTTGTGAGGCTTCTTACCTGCTTTTCTTCATTTGTTGCCACTTCTAATTATTTACTTTCGAAAATTAGCAAACTTCATATTCGCAGAAAACAAGCTTTATGAGCATTATGATGTCTCATCTTAAGTGTTTTTGTTGATGCTGTGGACACACACACACACACACACACACACACACACACACTCCTTTAAATTTGTACCACTCTAGATGTTCTGTGAATGATGTTTTCCTGTGTCTTTCTACATTTTTTTGCTATGCAATATAGGTGTATTAAAAATTCCACCTTCTCCCTGAATGTTTGGTCTTCAGGCCCTTCCTTCACCATGTGTTCTTAGCTCTTAGAATTGTTTTCATAGTGTTTGGTGCTGCATTAATGACAGATAAATGGTGTATTAATGCTGTATTTTTCCTCCTTGTTTTGCAGGTAATGTGGCTTTAGATAATCTACAGATAAAAGAAAATGCTCTGGTAAGTTTTTTTATTTAAATTATGCTAAAAATTCAGTTAATTTGGTAAGCTCTTAGAAACCACTGGTTACTAGGCATCTGGTATCAGATGCCAGATAAAGTGATTGAATCACTAAGAGAAGGATCATGTATTTAAGTATTTGCCATAGGAAAATCTGAAATTAAAGATACAGAGTTTTTTTTTCCTAATGATCAAAATAGTATGCTTTGAAAAATGGAATGTTTTTCTATAACCTAATTTGTCTATAGAGCTTTGTAGTGTACATTTTTCTGAGTGGAATTTCTTTTCAAAATTATCCTTACATGTTTTTCAGGTAAATAAGGCCTTGATATTAACAAGCTACCTAATAAATACTTGCACTTTTGGAGATACTGTATGGATAGTCTAGCCTTGTGGTAATATTAAGAGGTAAAAGAGAACTTTTTACTCTCACTTCAGAAAGTCATTTCATCCCTAACTACTGAGCTGAAAGCAAAACCACACCCCTCCCCCAGTTAGGTTTAAATTTATGCTATTGTGCTTGCGTTTATTTTGTGACGTAATTTTTTTAAATTAAAGTTTCAGGTTTCTAAACTAAAGCAGATACCTTAAAAGCAACTGAGGCCAATAGGAAAAGGGGAACAGGTACTAGAGAAAAGGTTAGATCAAAAAGAATTAACCTAGAAGGTAACACCCTCACACAGGAAATCAATGTGAGTCAATGCCCTGTATAGCTATCCTTATCTCAACCAGCAAAAACCCTTGTCCTTTCCTGTTATTGCTTATACTCTCTCTACAACAAAATTAGAAATAAGGGCAAAATAGTTTCTGCTGGGTATTGAGGGGGTGAGGGGGAGAGGGAGGGGGTGGGGGCAGGGAGGAGAAATGAACCAAGCCTTGTATGCACATATGAATAATAAAAGAAAAAGGAAAAAAAAAAGTTTCAGGTTTCTGAAAATGAAGAAAATTAAGAAAAAATTGAGAAATTTCCAGTTTCCTGATGTCCTTGAGTTTCAGTATAAACGATCTAGAGTAGAGTTAACTGTCCAGCAGCAGTGTATCTGTGTCTTTGTTGCTAGACTGAGATGAAAAGGAGAGCCTGGCACACAGCAGTACTCAAATTAGTTAATTCTTCTTTCTCTCTCTTTGAGAGAGAAAGCATGCCAAGTTTTAAAATTTTATCTAAAAATTTAGAAATGTTGCTAGAGATTGGAATAAAGCTTATTTTTCTTAATTTCTGATTTTTTTTTTTTTTTTTACAAAAATCAGCATAAATAGAATTGTGGGAACAGGATACTTAGAAGAGAAATTAAACACCATGCTAGTCTAATTGGAATGTTGGTTATAATTAAATGTAATAAAATATTTTATAATTTATGTTTTCTGTGAATTCAAACTAGCCTCCTTTTTCCATTTTGTCAGATTCGTGAAGTTTTAATTTGGTACAGTTCTTTACATTTTTTTGTTTGAAAATTGCTTCAGGAGTATAAAAAAGAGAATGAGACCAAATTTTTAGAAATAAGCAGTTTCTGGTTTGTACCCTGTGTTAGGTGAATTCTTTTTTTTAAATTTTATTTTATCATTTTTACATTTACTCATACATGTATACGTTGTTTGGGCTACCTCCCCCCAGGTGAATTCTTTTATATTTATTTTTTCTATCTCCTCGGTGGGTAGAGCTGCTTTCTTGTTGCCATTGGTTTGCAAAAGACTTTTCTCAGCAACTGTCATTATTTCATTCCATTCCTGTTTACTTAGGATGCAGGAGTAATCAGATGATCAGGTAAACTCATTATTTTAGCTCATTGTAACCTGACAAACCATATTTCAGGTGCCAGATTTCCAGAGCACTCATATACATTAAGATAGCACCTAGCAGAAGGTTTACTGACTGGTTAAATTTCTAATAATTCTGAAGACTTAGCTGATCATCACAAGTACCAGTTACTATTTAGTACTCTGAATAAAGTCATTTGATCTTTCTGATAGTTTGGAACCTACCTGAGTGAAAATTTGTTATTGTTTGGCCTGTGTTGTAACCTAACTAAATGAAATGGTCATTTAGTAAATAACATGTTGGGAATCGACCATATCGTGTTAAATTGCTCCATTTATTCATTTACTAAATATTTTATTTGAGAGGGAATTGTTCTGTCATTGTTTTCAACTGATTTGTGTGAAGGACTATTTGTCTTCTTGCTGTAGCATTTCAGACAGTGTCCTTCTGTTCTTGGACTCATCTTTTGATTTGATTTGTTGCAAGTAATCGGTTTATTTAATCACTTTATTTACAGATGTTTTTTTGTTTTTCTTATTTATAATTTTACTTCTTTTGTGAATTCTTTCTGCAAAATGAAAGTTTAGTAAAAACATTTTTAGCTATAAAATGTATCCTGTATTAGTTACTCAAATAAGGAAAATTTGCTTTTTGTTCATTTTTAGAAGTATATTTAAATGATGAGCAAAGTAAGTTTTTGGAGTGCTTAATAATTTAAGACGTCTTTTAAATGTTTTTTTCCTTCTGAAGAGTGAATTAGATGTTCCTTTTAAAGTCAAGGCTGGCCAAATTGGTAAGTACTTTACTCTTCATTTGAATTATCCTCAGTCCTTTTAGTTTTTTATTTTGCCTGTGCTGTTTAATCTAAGAAACTTTATTCATTTGACCAAAAGTATTAGAGGTTTTTGGGTTATGTTAATTTCAGAGTTTTTAGCCTAATATATATTGTATATGTTACAAATTTTATACTTACAAATTTTATTAACTAATTTTTAAATTAAGCTGATTTCCCTCATGTTTTGTTCAACAACCATTTTCACTTGATATATTATGCAGCAATGTGGTATGGAGAAATGTAAGTGTAGAGTCTTTGCAGCTGAACCCTTAACACTAAGAGCATTCCTAAGCATATATCTTTGCTAGAGAAATTTTTCAATTGAGAAATTAATCTACAAAGTTCTCCTAAAGTAGGTCCATATTACCTGATTTTTTTACTTAAAAAAAAGTACATATAAAAATTACAACCCTAGATGCCTTCCATGGATGTAACTTTTTGGGTCCATTTTATATTAGTTATATATGTCCTTTTACTGTAAAGGAACATTTTCATGTTTTTGTCACATAAATTGAAGTATTAACCTGAGAGTTAAGCCATCTCTATGTGATGTACCCACTTTTTGTCTGTTAAGTAGTGCTGACTATAGTCAGGTGAGCAGTGCCCTAGAAGTACTGTTGTTGTGCTGCATCCTTAATTGACATCCTAGCAAATAGAAATTACTACCATTCATTCATCATTTTAGTTTGAAATATTTATAAGCACATGCTCTGTACAAGACTCTGCAAGTAGCTGTGGGAGCGGCAAGGGTGAATGTGACACCTTTGTCTTTCAGGAATTATTTATTTATTTATTTAAAATTAGACACAGATTGAAATTGTATTTCCAGTATACTGAATGAGTTTTAGTAACTAAAAAACCTGCACTATTCACTATATTCTTGCAGGGAGGTTTAATAATAGCTCAGAATTTATTCTTTTTGCTTTTAAAGTATCAAAGGATTTAGTAGCTTTTCCAGGTTTACTCCCTGAGTTACAAGAGACCCATTACATATAAGGTTGCAAGTATATTTTATTTTACTCTTTTTCTTAGAGCTTGTATATTATATATTAAATTTCTGCTCAAGTTGAAATATTACTCTTACCCTGTAGAGTCATTTTGGCTAAGTAAGCTCAAGTATGGTTTTATTTTCAAAGAGCTATCCATATTTGAGGGTGCCCCTGAGTTATCCTTTTACTTAAATTTTAAAAAATAGTTCTTGATCTATAAAAGGAGACAGTAATCTAACTAACTGAACTCCAAGACCTTTTTGAGATCCAGGATATAATGAATTATAATAAAGGAGAGAAGAAAACATATAGGGAATTGATACTTTAAAAAATTATATTAATTAAAGGAGTATTTTGTACTTTTTAAAATCTTATCACTAAAAAGTCAACCAAATAAATTTTGCTAGGAGATGACTACAGATAATATCCATTATAAATATGGGTTGTACTGACTAAAATTACCACACTTACAGGCGACGATGAAGTATTCTGTTATGCCTCTAGACGTCCCGTGGACCCTAGAAGCATTTAGAGAAACTCAGCAAGTTTAAAGCCAAAGAAGAAAATTAATTTTTTTTTTAAGCAACAGTCTGAACTCAGGCCTCATGTTTTTGCTTGCCCAGGTGCTCTACAATTTGAGCCATGCTCCAGCCCGTTTTGTATTTTTTGAGTTTACAAGATGGGTCTCCACACTGTTTGACAAAATGGATTAAAAAAGAAGATCCAACAATTTGTTGCTTACAGGAGATCATCTCACCGACAGAAATAAGCATATGCTTAGGATGAAAGGCTGGAAGAAGATTTACCAAGCCAATGGCCCCAAAACAGGCAGGAGTAGCAATACTTATCTCTGACAAAGTAGACTTCAAACCTACATTGATCAAACGAGATAAAGAAGGACATTCCATACTAATAAAAGGGAAATAGACCAAAAGGAAATAATAATCATCAACCTGTATGCACCCAATGTCAAGCACCCAATTTCATCAAACATACCCTGAAAGACCTAAAAGCATATATAAACGCCAACACAGTGGTTGTGGGAGACTTTAACACCCATTATCATCAATAGATAGGTCATCCAAACAAAAATCAATAAAGAAATCCAAGATCTAAAATATGCAATAGATCAAATGGACCTAGTAGATGTCTACAGAACATTTCATCCAACTCTACACAAATACATTCTTCTCAGCAGCCCATGGAACCTTCTCCAAAATAGATCATATCCTAGGGCACAAAGCAAGCCTCAGCAAATATAAGAAAATAGAAATTAATACCATGCATACTATCTGATCACAATGCAGTAAAAGTAGAACTCAACAACAAAAGTAAAGACAAAAAACATGCAAACAGCTGGAAACTAAATAACTCATTACTTAATGAAGAATGGATCATCGATGCAATAAAAGAGGAAATTAAAAAGTTCCTGGAAGTCAATGAAAATGAAAACACAACCTACCGGAACCTATGGGACACAGCTAAGGCAGTCCTGAGAGGAAAGTTTATAGCCATGAGTGCATATATTAAAAAGACTGAAAGATCCCAAATCAATGACCTAATGATACATCTCAAACTCCTAGAAAAACAAGAACAAGCAAATCCCAAAACAAATAGAAGGAGAGAAATAATAAAAATAAGAGCTGAAATCAACGAAATAGAAACCAAAAAAACCATACAAAGAATTAATGAAACAAAAAGTTGGTTCTTTGAAAAAATAAACAAGATCGATAGACCCCTGGCAAACCTGACTAAAATGAGGAGAGAAAAAACCCAAATTAGTAGAATCAGGAATGCAAAAGGGAGATAACAACAAACACCATGGAAGTCCAGGAAATCATCAGAGACTACTTTGAGAACCTATATTCAAATAAATTTGAAAATCTAAAGAAATGGACAGATTTCTAGATACATATGATCATCCAAAACTGAACCAAGAGGAAATTAATCACCTGAATAGACTATAACACAAAATGAAATTGAAGCAGCAATCAAGAGTCTCCCCAAAAAGAAAAGTCCAGGACCTGATGGATTCTCTGCTGAATTCTATCAGACCTTTAAAGAAGAACTGATACCAACCCTCCTTAAACTGTTCCATGAAATAGAAAGGGAAGGAAAACTGCCAAACACATTTTATGAAGCCAGTATTACACTTATCCCAAAACCAGGCAAAGAACCTCCAAAAAGGAGAACTATAGGCCAATCTCCTTAATGAACATTGATGCAAAAATCCTCAACAAAATAATGGCAAACGAATTCAGCAACACATCAAAAAGATTATTCACCACGACCAAGTAGGCTTCATCCCAGGGATGCAGGGGTGGTTCAACATATGAAAATCAATAAACGTAATAAACCACATTAACAGAAGCAAAGACAAAAACCACTTGATCATCTCAATAGATGCAGAAAAAGCCTTTGATAAGATCCAACATCATTTCATGATAAAAGCTCTAAGAAAACTAGGAATAGAAGGAAAGTTCCTCAACATTATAAAAGCTATATATGACAAACCTACAGCCAGCATTATACTTAATGGAGAAAAACTGAAACCATTCCCTCTAAAATCAGGAACCAGACAAGGATGCCCACTATCTCCACTCCTATTCAACATAGTACTGGAATTCCTAGCCAGAGCAATTAGGCAAGAAGAAGGAATAAAAGGAATACAAATAGGTAAAGAAACTGTCAAAATATCCCTATTTGCAGATGACATGATCCTATACCTTAAAGACCCAAAAAACTCTACTCAGAAGCTTCTAGACATCATCAATAGCTATAGCAAGGTAGCAGGATATAAAATCAACATAGAAAAATCATTAGCATTTCTATACACTAACAATGAGCAAACGGAAAAAGAATGTATGAAAACAATTCCATTTACAATAGCCTCAAAAAAAATCAAATACCTAGGTGTAAACCTAACAAAAGATGTGAAAGACCTCTACAAGGAAAACTATACACTTCTGAAGAAAGAGATTGAGGAAGACTATAGAAAGTGGAGAGATCTCCCATGCTCATGGATTGGTAGAATCAACATAGTAAAAATGTCGATACTCCCAAAAGTTAATTCTAACATCATCAATAGCTATAGCAAGGTAGCAGGATATAAAATCAACATAGAAAAATCATTAGCATTTCTATACACTAACAATGAGCAAACTGAAAAAGAATGTATGAAAACAATTCCATTTACAATAGCCTCAAAAAAATCAAATACCTAGGTGTAAACCTAACAAAAGATGTGAAGACCTCTACAAGGAAAACTATACACTTCTGAAGAAAGAGATTGAGGAAGACTATAGAAAGTGGAGAGATCTCCCATGCTCATGGATTGGTAGAATCAACATAGTAAAAATGTCGATCCCAAAAGTAATCTACATGTTTAATGCAATTCCATCAAAATTCCAATGACATTCATTAAAGAGATTGAAAAATCTACTGTTAAATTTATATGGAAACACAAGAGGCCACGAATAGCCAAGGCAATACTCAGTCAAAGAACAATGGAGGTATCACAAACCTGACTTCAAACTATATTACAAAGCAATAACAATAAAAACAGCATGGTACTGGCACAAAAACAGACATGAAGACCAGTGGAACAGAATAGAGGACCCAGATATGAAGCCACACAACTATAACCAACTTTCTTTGACAAAGGAGCTAAAATATACGATGGAGAAATAGCAGCCTCTTCAACAAAAACTGCTGGGAAAACTGGTTAGCAGTCTGCAAAAAACTGAAACTAGATCCATGTATATCACCCTATACCAAGATTAACTCAAAATGGATCAAGGATCTTAATATCAGACCCCAAACTCTAAAGTTGATACAGGAAAGAGTAGGAAATACTCTGGAGTTAGTAGGTATAGGTAAGAACTTTCTCAATGAAACCCCAGCAGCACAGCAACTAAGAGATAGCATAGATAAATGGGACCTCATAAAACTAAAAAGCTTCTGTTCATCAAAAGAAATGGTCTCTAAACTGAAGAGAACACCCACAGAGTGGGAGAAAATATTTGCCAACTATACATCAGACAAAGGACTGATAACCAGAATATAGGGAACTTAAAAAACTAAATTCTCCCAAAACTAATGAACCAATAAAGAAATGGGCAAGTGAACTAAACAGAACTTTCTCAAAAGAAGAGAAATTCAAATGGCCAAAAAACACATGAAAAAATGCTCACCATCTCTAGCAATAAAGGAAATGCAAATTAAAACCACACTAAGATTCCACCTCACCCCTGTTAGAATAGCCATCATTAGCAACACCACGAACAACAGGTGTTGGCGAGGATGCGGGGAAAAAGGAACCCTCTTACACTGTTGTGGGAATGTAACTAGTACAACCACTCTGGAAAAAAATTTGGAGGCTACTTAAAAAGCTAACATGATCTACCATTTGATCCAGCAATACCACTCTTGGGGATATACCCAAAAACTGTGACAGGTTACTCCAGAGGCACCTGCACACCCATGTTTATTGCGGCACTATTCACAATAGCCAAGTTATGGAAACAGCCAAGATGCCCCACCACTGACGAATGGATTAAGAAAATGTGGAATCTATACACAATGGAATTCTATGCAGCCATGAAGAAGAACGAAATGTTATCATTGCTGGTAAATGGATGGAATTGGAGAACATCATTCTGAGTGAGGTTAGCCTGGCCCAAAAGACCAAAAATCGTATGTTCTCCCTCATATGTGGACATTAGATCAAGGGCAAACACAACAAGGGGATTGGACTATGAGCACATGATAAAAGCGAGAGCACACAAGGGAGGGGTGAGGATAGGTAAGACACCTAAAAAACTAGCTAGCATTTGTTGCCCTTAACGCAGAGAAACTAAAGCAGATACCTTAAAGCAACTGAGGCCAATAGGAAAAGGGGACAGGAACTAGAGAAAAGGTTAGATCAAAAAGAATTAACCTAGAAGGTAACACCCACGCACAGGAAATCAATGTGAGTCAATGCCCTGTATAGCTATCCTTATCTCAACCAGCAAAAACCCTTGTTCCTTCCTATTATTGCTTATACTCTCTCTACAACAAAATTAGAAATAAGGGCAAAATAGTTTCTGCTGGGTATTGGGTGGGGGGAGAGGGAGGGGGCATGGTGGGTGGTAAGGGAGGGGGTGGGGGCAGCGGGGAGAAATGAACCAAGCCTTGTATGCACATATGAATAATAAAAGAAAAAGAAAAAAAAATCAAGTTTAAAACCAGGCAAAATGAATCTTCCCTGTTCCCTGTATTTCGTGAATTCATTGAGCTCTGTTCTTAACATACTTATCTCTTGTAAGTATGGTATGTGTCAATAAATTTTCTTTTAACTTAAAAAAAAAAAAAAACAAGATAGGGTCTCAGGAACTATTTGCGCTGGCTGGCTTTGAACCTGATCCTCCTGATCTCTGCCTCAGAGTAGCTTGAATTGTAGGTATGAGCCACCGGTGCCCGGCTTAAATTCATACTGGAGAAATAATTTGATGTTTTAACCCTGGAAATAAGTTCCCAGGTAACACTGGCTTGGTTACATCATCATCCAGGTGATCAGAATATCCTCTCTTACATAACATTCTTTCTTCAGCTTGGTATATTATCAATTGTATGAACTTTGAGCATCTTTTTTAAAAAAGCTAGTAATTCTAGGGTGACTCATTCATTCACATATGAGTTAAATCAGTTTCTTTTCTCCTTAAAGTCTTGGTCACCAGCATCAAGAGAACCAAAGCTTTAAAAGTATCATTATTTTATTACTTTATTAGTTTGTGGTACTGGGATTTAAAATCAGGACCCATACCTTGAACCATGCCACCAGCCCTTTTTGTGTTGGGATTTTCAAGATACAGTCTTGCGAACTATTTGCTTGGGCTGGCTTCGAACCGTGATCCTTTTGATTTATGCCTCCTGTGTAGCTAGGATACAGTTGTGAGTCACTGGTGCCTGGCAGTACTAATATTTTAAACAAATGACGAGGAAGGAAGGTATTTTATTTTTGGAACATGGAAAACTTTAGGTGTAGATAAGGTTTGGGCAAAATCACTGTAGTACTATTGAGGGAAGACTAGGCCATTAGACCTGCCTAAAGACCAGGAAAGAAGGTCATTAAAGATTGGGAAAAGGATAAACAAAGAAATATGAGAAGATACCCAAGACAGATTTTACCCATTTTAAAATCGAGCTGTCTTTTCCTTCTGTGTTGTGAGTGAAAGTTTTTGTGGGCTCATTCTCAAGGACATGACCTTAATTCCATTGTTTCTAGGCAAGAAAATGTGTTCTGTGTCCAAGTGATTTATAAATATAACTTACCTGAGTTGCATATCATTATTCACATGACATATATAACATGACAGTACTTGATAGTACATGATGTAAAACAGTATGCCTTGCGTTTAGGCTGAAAATTTGCAGTTGTGACATTTTTACTTACTGTTCAAGTTCTGGTACTTAGGACACTTCTTAAATTCCTGGAATCTTGCACAGCTATTTTACAATTGATCTCTAGGGCTTTGGTTGTTGGTGGGGTGGGAGAGCATGTGCAGTAGTGAGATGTCATGCACTGAGTTCTGTTTCCAGCACCCTCACTGACTTAATTTTCCTTTTTGTCCAAAATTGAAATAACAGCTACTTTATTTTTCTTACAGTTTGGGAATATTAAATGAGATAATAGCTATCAAAAAGCTTGAAATGCATAAAGTATGTGAATATATATTTTTAATAAAATCAAAAGATCTTTGTAAACTTTAATGTTGGAGTTTTCTTCATTTTTTTGGTTGATATACATAATGTATTCATGGAGAGTCTTGTTATACTTTTACTGGAAAGAGAAATTTGTATCCTCTTGAGCAGTCAAATAAGGATGTAAAATTTTAATTATGTTTCTTTAGATAAATTAACTTTGAAGATTCCTTGGAAAAACCTTTATGGAGAAGCAGTTGTTGCTACCCTGGAGGGATTATACCTGCTTATTGTCCCTGGAGCAAGTATGTTGTTGTTTTTTTAATCATTCCTACATCACAGTAAAATTAAATTGTTTTCTGGGTTAAGTATTCTAATTCTAAGACATTAGATAGTATAAATAAATGAACATATAGATACATGGAACATACACACACACACACACACACACACATATATACACACATTTTATGTATGTAGTCACATTATCTAGCTGTATATAGAATTTTTTATGTTATTGTTGAAAAGAATAAATTCAACCTATTTTAGATTTATTCTGTTCTCTGAGTAATCATTTTGCATCTATAGCATTCTTTTGAGATGTATTAGTAGATTCACTATTAAGGAATGAAATGAAATAAAGTATTAAGAAGGTAGTGATGAGGTGGTAAGTTGTAGATATCTGGTGGGAAATTTTATTTTGTCCTCATTTCGTTGCTTCTGATTTTAAATGAATGCTTCTGTTCTAAAATATGTGCGACATAATAATTTTTGATGGCAATGATAGTATTTTAATTGGAGTATTTTAAAATATTAAAGTTTAAGTAGTAGCTTCTGTTTTTAATGTTTTTTTCAGTTAGATGTATACATCTAACTGAAAAGTTTGGATGTTTTAGGGAAAATTACTTTTAATTTCTTCACTATAACACAAATACAATTTTTAGTTTTGCATTTTGCTTACCAGTCTTTACCATAAACAAAATTACAAAAAGTAATAGTTACCATATTATATATACAGCATTGATCTGGCTTTTTTACCTAATGTATACACTTTTTATATGTTTCATAGTTTTCATGGTCAAGTGACAATTTTGTAAGGCTATCTGATAATGTACTATGGGCTATCTACTGTTTCTTATTGTCTTGGAATTTCTTGAGTGTCTCCTGTACATTTTGGTTGACCCTATCCAGTATCATCTCTATAAAATTCTCATTGAGTACTTGTAGTATGTCTTCTTTTAAATTATTCTTGTGGGCTTCATTGGGTCCTTTGGCATAGTTTATCTTCATTTTGTTGGAGTCTGGATCTGAGTTTCTGTTCTCTTCATTCCCCTCTGGTTCCTGTACTAATTTTTTGCTGTGGGGAAACTGGTTTCCCTGTTTTTTCTGTCTTCCCGTCATTGTCCTTGGTGTTGTTACTGTCCCTGTACTGTGTGCAATTAAGTATTTTCTAGCTTGTAATAATAACAGTGGTAATATTTAGAATGGAAGAGTGAGCTGAGATGGAAAGCAAGAAGTTAAAGAAAAGGGGAAAACAAACATACAGACAAGAGGGAGAAAGCAGAACAAGGTATCAGACAAGAGAGTTTCAAAGGTATAAACAGGGAGTGTTAGTGTACTAATCGACAGTAAGCTGAGCAGACATTAGAGAGACAGAGAGGATTGAAAATCAAAGATAAAAAAATAAAAAGTAAATGAAAGTAATATCTATATATAAAAATGAATTAAAATAAAATGGAAAATAGAAAATTTAAAAAAAACCAAAAAACTTCCAAGTTTATATGCAATGCAGTTTCAGTCTTAATAATTTGGGTGTCCGTCTCAATCTCGAGTCCTGGAGTTGGTGCCTCAGATGTTGTTCTGTAGTTGTCTCATCAAAGGGGATGCAAACAAAACTACACACACACACACACACACACACACACACACACACACACACACACACACACACACACACACACACACACAGCCCCACCAAGTGTCCCCAGTTCAAATGCAATACAGTTTCAGTAAGTTTTTCGGCTTGCAGGTGTAATTCAGATGTTCTCTCATCAAAGGTAGGGAGAAAAAGAAAAAAAAGCGTCTGGAGGCAGTTCTGAGAGTGGTATCTGCAACTGTGGCTTGCCTGCCTGCTGCTCTCAGCCCGTAGCTCTCGGCGTTATTTATGCACATCTCTGGGGTGAGCTAGCTCTCACCTGGTCCCACAGGCTTTGTTTGCTCAGAGTTCTCCTGTGTGGGAGCCTCTGCTACAGGCTTTCCACTTTCCAAGCACTGGGAAAGGTGACACTGCCCCCGCGTTGTCAGGCCTGTGTGTTTATTTACGGCTCACATGGGAAGTGGGTCTTCCCTCCTCTCACAAGCGTCCCCGCTCCTGGTTGCTGGGTGCGCGCCCTGCTCCTGCCAGAGGCTCTCCGGCCAGCCCGGCTTGTTTATTTACAGTCCCGGGAAGGATTCCCTTCCCCCAGTCTAAAGCGCTTAGGACGCCCCACCCTCTTTCCAGCGTGTCTTAACTGTTCTTATTGCTTAGTACTCAGTTTCTCTTTTTTCCCGGGTGGAGGTCAGTCTGTCCAGGGGGCTATGCTGCTCTGGCCCAGGCTTGTCTGTGGGGTACCGCGGTACTGCGAAGCTCACCTGGTCCGCGTCTTCCCAAGCCGTATGGGCGCCGGCCACTGGCGCCCCGGGGGCCCTCCTCGTTTCTCCGTTTAACGTGGAGTGGAGATTCTCTGCACCGGCTGGAGATGTGGAGGAGTCAAAGTTATGCCTTTTCTCAGTGATTATGCCTGCAAAGTGTGTCTCCAGCGTCTCTCCAAGATTTCACTATAGGAGGTTCGCTTTCTGCTTCCTACCTCTAGTCGCCATCTTGGAATCCCCCTATCTACTGTTTCTTATAGTTAGTGAACCCAGTAATTATCTCCTCCTTGTAGACACTTTTTAGTTGTTTGCATTATTCCTTAGTATACATTATCAGACATAAGATAATTAGCAAAAAGAAAGTTTAATATATCTGATTTACATGTCTGAACTATTTTCTAAAGGTGTTTTTAATAGTGTACATTGATACCAGCTAATATTTGATATTACGTCGTTTTTGTCCTTAATTAAAAATTTTACCACTGAGGTATAATAGCTGTCAATAGTCTCATACATTTTTGTCTTCTTTCTGTTTCTCTTTTACCTATGTGACCTTCTCCTTTGTTTTTTCCTATCTCCCTTTCTCCTGGTAATTTCTTTCCCTTCATTTTTTTCTTTTTGATTTAAGCTTCATAAATAAATAGGAATCATTTATTTTTAAACTTTTGCAAAACCAATCTAAATAATGCAGAAGTGTTTTTGTACTTACAGATAATAACTTATGTTACATGTACATAATTGTAATGAGGCTAAACTTTTCCCTTCACTTATTTATGTATAATTCCACTTCCCTTTGTATAAATTAATTATATATTTTTAGGTATTGAATATGATGCTGAGAAAGAAGAAAAATCCTTGCAAGATACTAAACAGAAAGAGCTTTCTCGAATTGAAGATGCCCTTCAAAAAGCAGCAGAGAAAGGTAAATAAATTAATGTTTTGGATAAGTTGTATATACTTATATTTTATATCTATTTAATGTAACTGAAAGAGGGTACTTTCATAGGCCTTCTTAAGCTACAGTTCTAAAGACAGAATCTTTTAAAATCCTCTCTCAGAGTATTGATTGTAAGTATTTTAGTGACTCATTGCCTTTTTTCTGTGATTGATTTATTTCACTGCCAGTTTGATACTCCCTTTTCAGTTAAATAGCGCAGTAAAACTGCTACTGTAGGAGACTTCAAATTCTGTACTTTCCTGCAGGCCTCTTTATTTTGGTCAAAGTTAAGATATTCTTTGTGTGCATTCTTGTACTTTTGCAAGATAAGAGGTTAAGAATATAACTGCAGTAATGAAGTGATGTTTGGAGAAAATGTTATAATTTTAGTTCTAGCTGTTTTTTCCTATTGTATAAGATATCTAAAAAAAAAATTACTTTTAGGCCTCAACATTTCAACATCTTCAAGTTTTAAATTTTGTTTTTTGTCTAAACATAAATATGGTGGATTATTAGTTTAAAATTGATTTTGGTGAGGACAGAATTAGGCATTTGGACTTTTTCTATGATAGGTAAGACTAGGTCATCATTGAGTATTGTAAGAACCCCAAGGACATCAGAATGAAATAGCAGTTGTCAGATTCTTTTAATAGTGTCTTCAACATTGTTGCTTTAACATCTAACAAAGGGTTTATTTTCTCATTTCAAATACATTAAATATTCTGAGTGAAACAAGTCAGTCATTTGCCTAATGATCTTTCAAAGAAAAGTTGTATCTATGCTTAGTCTAAGTTTGCATGGTGTATGCTTTAGTGTATTAATGGTGAACTTGGTTTCTGAAATTAAACTTTTTATTTGAAATTTTCTAAAATTTTTAAAAATTTGGTTTATAAAATAACAGGATGAGATGAAAAATGGTAGTCTGTATGTTGACAAGGTGAAGGACTTTCCCAATGTCTGATCTGTTTAATCTCTTTTTTTATTGTTTGTTCATTTATTCATATGTGTACACATTGTTTGGGCAATCTCTCCTCCCTGTCCTCCCTCCCCTTCCCGCCATCCCTCTGGAATCCAGGCAGAACCTGTTCTGCCCTCTTCTCCAATTTTGTTGGAGAGAAGACATACATAATAGAAAGACAAGCGTTTTTTGCTAGCTGGAGATAAAGATAGCTATACAGGAGACCCTAGGCATTGCTTCCACGCACATGTGTATTATAACTGAAGTTGTTCACACTACCAGACCTCTTATTATTTCCTGGTCACCTTCCCAAGTGGCCTGTCAGTTTGATTTTTGGCCTTCTGAGCTGGCTAACTTCACTTAAGATGATGTTCTCCAGTTCATCCATTTATTTGTGAATGACAAAATCTCATTCTTCTTTGTGGCTGAGTAAAATTCCATTGTATATAAATACCACACTTTCTTAATCCGTTCATCGGTAGTGGGGCATCTTGTCTGTTTCCATAACTTGGCTATTGTGAATAGTGCTGTAATAAACATGGGTGTGCAGGTAGATGCATCTGGAGTAACCTGAGTTGCATTCCTTTGGGTATATCCCTAGGGGTGGGATTGCTGGATCATATGGCAGGTCTATGTTTATTTTTTTAAGAAACCTCCATATTGTTTTCCAAAGTGGTTGCACTAGCTTACATTCCCACCAGCAGTGTATGAGGGTTCCTTTATTGTTTTCCGAAAGTGGTTGCACTAGCTTACATTCCCACCAGCAGTGTATGAGGGTTCCTTTTCCCCCACATCCTCACCAACGTTTGTGGTTAGTGGTGTTTTGATGATAGCTATTCTAACAGGAGTGAGGTGGAGTCTTGGTGTCGTTTTGATTTGCATTTCCTTTATAGTCAGGAATGGTGAACATTTTTTCATGTGTTTTTTGGCCATTTGGATTTCTTTCTTTGAAAAAATTCTGTTTAGTTCAGTTGCCCACTTTATTGGTTCATTGATTTGGGGAGTTTAGTTTTTTGTATCTCTTTTAAGTCAGAGCATTTCCTAGTTGCTGATTGGAGTACAGGAGTTCTTAGTATTTTGCATCATTTTTGTGTCATTTGGTGGCATGCGTATATGTATGTATATAAATATACACATATATATGTACATATATACAAATATACATATATATGTGTATATATTTTTTAACATGGACTGCTGACTTAATTGAATTCTTCCCAAGAGAGGATCTTTCTGTGGAGTTGAGGCTGGCTTGGAACTTGAGATTCTCCTGCCTCAGCCTTCTTAGTGCTGGGATTACAAGTGTGTACCACTATGCCCAGCTCAGAAATCTCTTTTAAAAGTAGTTTTCCCAACTCAGTGTGGTGATGGTAATTCTAGGTATTTGGAAGGCTGAACTTGAGCCCAGGAGTTCACAGACACCTGGGCAACAAACAGTGCCCTTCATTAGTGTTCTTCAGCACTGATTTGAATCCTTTTTGTACAAAGTATGTTCATTTTATGCAGAAATACTCTTTTATAAAGAGTTATTAATACTACTCAGAAATAAAGAGGCTACAATAATGGAAGAAATATTTTAAAAGCCTGAACATTTTTTCCTTTTCTCTTTCACAGTTAATAATGTTTTGCCTTTCTACTAAAACTTAAATATATACAGTTTTAGGAAAACAGTTTCTTCGTTTGTATTGTTTTTGTGTGTAAAATGAAGCAAACTGCAAATGGCTTTTTCAGTGGCACCTCATTTTTTATTTCTTTTCATTCAGTTGTTATTATATGTAGAAGGAGCACTGTAGAAATGAAAGACTTGGACAGCACTAGAATTTTATTTCTTAAAAGTCTTCAGGTTAAACATATTGCCTCTACATGTAATTTTATATATTTATGAATAGGCATAATATATATTTATATATGTTGATAAAACTTAGTTACACATTTCTAATTTATATTACATATAATTTATATTTTCTCTTTTGAGATTAAATCTGAAAGTCATTTTTGACTTTTTTTTGATGGAAATAATTTGTTACTAAAAAATATTTTAGTGGGATGGATGAATGCCAGTTGTTCATGCCTGTAATCCTAGCTACTCAGGAGGCAGAGATCAGGAGGAATGGCAGTTTGAAGCCAGCCTGGGCAAATAGTTTGCAAGACCCTATTTTGAAAAAACCCTTCACAAAAAAGGGCTAGCGTAGTGGCTCAAGGTGTAGGCCCTGAGTTCAAACCTCAGCAGTGCAAAAAAGAAAGTTAGTGTTTGAGTTTCCAGTGATTTGTAAGAAAGGAATGGTACAGTTTCATCTGCTTTAATAGTTGTCAGTTTAATTGGCAAAATGATAACTTCGTATACATTTTGTACTGAGTACCTATGAAAATTTTGCTCCCAGGTCTTTTAATGCTTGCATTAAATTAAAACTAAAATTCTCATGTTGATCTGCTCTAAAACATGGATTTATTTTAATTTGTTCCACCCGCTAAAACACGAGTTCTGGCCATTAAACTTCGGAACAAATATTGAAATATAAGTATAATTTCATTTCTAGAGAATTTGCTTAACTGAAAATGTACTCAGATCTCCTTTTTCATTGGAGTGAGGTCCCCTCCTCCCCACCGTGAAGGCTATCATAAAATAAAGGGTTATAATAATTTTCTAGTAAGGCCAAAGATTTCCAAATGCTTGTTTCTGTGCTTAAAATGTTAAGTTTACTAAAGTGATAAATATGTACACCTCAAAATCAGATAGTTTTGTGGAAGAACCTCTTGATGGAAAGTAGAAGTCTGCTGTTGCACACTTTGTACTCTTGGGACCCCCTCGTTAGACGGAATCACATTCTGTCATCATCTGGTTCCCTGACATAAGGCATTCTCTAGTAATTCTTATTATGCTAGGCAAGGACTTTACATCTCTTACTATCTCCTTTCACTCTAAATCCCCTCCCTGTCTTCTCATAATATGGATATATTGTAATTTTTAGTAAATTACCAGTCAATTTTTATATCACTATGCTAGTATAATTATTGTCCACTGCATAGGTCAGATGGTATACTATGTTATATTTTTTTTTTTTTTTTTGTCTTTTCTTTTTTGGTGCTGGGATCGAACCCCAGGCTTCTTGCGTGCTAGGCAAGCACTGTACCACCAAGCTACATCCCAGCCCTTACATTTTCTTTACTATGCAATGATTTGCTTTTCTTGAATTATAAATACCTCTTTTTTTGGCTTGTTTGTGTAAATTAATTTACCTCTAATTTTTTTCATGTATTACATGCAATTTGCCTGTTACACAAGTGTTGCTATTATTTTCCTGTTGCCATAACCCATCTGTTGTTCTTCTTCACCAATCTGTTCTTTTCCTTGGCATTCTGTCTTTGAACTGCTTTGTTTCATTTTTACAGTGCTGTGGAATTAAACCCAGGGCTGCACATGCCAGGCAAGAGAGATCTACGACTGAACTTTTTAAAAAAATGAACTGTTCTCTTCGTCCCTTGCTTTTTTTTTCTCCTACTTTTCTTTTTTTGCTAGATACAGTATACAGTGAGTAGCTTCAAGAATAATTCTGAAAAATCCTTCAAAGGCTGAAAGCCTTTGTATTTTATTTCTAGAATTGCTTTGTCCGGCATATACTACTAGGTTTATAATTAGGAGTTTGAAGACAATGTCTTCTAGCTTCTAGGGGCTTTTGAAACATCAGATGTCAGTCTGCTCTGTACATCCTCAGAAACAGAAAAATTAGAAAATCCCTGAACCCTATTGTCAAAGCCCTCACATTTGAATTGGGCAAGTGAATTGCTTAAAGATAAGCAGGAAAAATTGTTGAGTCCTATCAAGGAGGTACACAGTCTGGGAGTTCAGAATGAACATACTGTGTTCAGCCAAAGAGATCAGGATAGGCAATGTGAAGTTACGTATTTCAGCAGGGTGTAAAGAATGCAGAAAGGAGAGGGCATTCTAGGTAGAGGGGACAGTGAAGGAGGAAAAGTATAGAGCATCTATGGGGAACAGGTGATGGTTTGGTAGGTGATAGAGTGTAGTTGGATGTAAGGTTAGGAAGCCAAGTTTAGGTCAATTTAAAGAGATTTGAGTGGCTTAATGATGAAGATAATGATAATGACAATGACAGCTAACATTTTTTGAACATTTACTAATGCAAGTCACGATTCAAAATGCCGTGTCTGAATTAACTCATATCACAGTTAGCACCCTATAATATCAGTGCTGTTATTTCTGTTTTACAGTTGAGGAAGCTGTGAATGTCAAATAAGTTGTCCTAGGTCACATAGCTAGAACACGGTAGAACCAGAAATTGTACTCAGTCTGGCTCTAGATCCTGTATTGTTAACCCTGCACTATAGTGCATTTAGTCTGTAGCTGTTGAGGGGTGTCAGTAAGTTTTCCTTTTTCTTTCTTCGTAATCCAGGGAGTGGCTAATCAGAGCTGTGTTGTATGGAGGTTAAACTCGTAGTGATGTCTCTCGCTAAGCTAGATTTGGAGAGGAAAATTGTACTTGGTGCTTCTCGCAGTCATTAACAGAAAGAATAGAAAGGTTTCAGCCAGTCTGTCTAAAAGGAACAGATCACTCTAAAGTAAGGTGAGATCATTTCAGCCGACTCCTAAAATCAGTGTCAAGTATCACAGTTTCTGAAAATGGGCCAAATGACAGGCAAAAAGAGAACTAAATTGCAGATTTTTGTTCTGTTTGAAGATTTTTCAAAGATTTCAATGTGTTATTAGCCATAATTGTTTTCGTGTCTTGCTTCATTTGAAATGATTGTTACAATTTTAACTCAGAATTTTTGTTTTATGAACTCATATGCTAAAAGAATGAAAATGGAGTCGCTGTGAGTATTTCCTTAGAAATTATGGTTTTGGCCTCATTGAATTTCAGTTGCATAATATGTCATTTCTAATTCTTTGAAATTCAGTGCAGGCATAGTTCACATGTGAAATTGAAGATGTCTTTTAAATGCTTTGCATTTTGATTACTGCTGCCATACGGATTTCAGGTGCACATTCAGGGGAGTTCATATATGGCTTGGAAAACTTTGTCTACAAGGACATCAAGCCTGGTGGGTACGCATGGTTAATTAAATTCCACTGCATAAATATTACATGCTTGCCTATGCTTGTGCTTTTACTGGAGTCTATTTGATGTTGTGCCGTCCTTTCGAAAAATATGGAAATGTATTTCATGTTTTCCACCTGGACCATCATTTCCTTTTCCCTACCTTCTATAGCCATTTATTCATTCACTAAATGTTTGAGTCTCTTCGTGTGGAAGCTGTGCTGGGTGCCTGCTGTTCTTGGGTACACAAAAATAACTCACTGGCTTTTTGAAGTTCCCAGTTTGATCCATAGATAATTGTGAAGTTTGTACTGCCTTTGGGCTTTACTAGTTTTCGAGTACACTAGTAGTTTTTCAAGTAAGCACTTCTTTCCTATATAGCAGCGGTACTGAAACTTGTGTAAAGTAATAATGTGGAATTGTTTTTGGCCAAGCGTTTTTAGAACTTGATGGGATACCCGTCTTCATTTCTTCTCATATCTCTGATTCACTCTACAGCAGCTCTGTAGGCACCTCTAGACCGCTATCCTGTATAGCATACTGTGATTTGAAGCTTCACAAAGGCAAATTGAAGGCTGTTTGCTTTAGGATTTACAGCAGGATTCTTTTATATGCTAGGAAGTCTACCAAACACAGTAATAATTTTTAATATTATAAGTAAAGTTTGATTTATTAAATTTTATGCTTTGTATAATTCTTCAGAGCTTGTTAATACTTTAATCACAGCAAGCATTATTTCTGTTAGAGTTTATTTCTGATTTTTTTTGTTGTAGTACTGGGGTTTGAACTCAGAACCTTGTGCTTGCTAGGTAAGTGCTCTTCCACTTGAGCCATGCCTCCAGCCCTGTTAGTTACTTCTGAAGATAGAAATTTCTTTAATATGAAAATTCATATGACAAGTAGAAGAAAAATTTGCATGTCAGATTCCCAGCATTAAGTGATTATCCTGAAAACAAGTTCTTTTTTAAAAAATCTACCCCTTTAGTAAGTGTGGCTGACTATGTTGATTTGTTGCTTTGTTCAATTTTGAAGATAGTATCTGGATTCTTACGGGTTACTGTCCAATTTTGGGTGTTGTATTTGAACCAAGTTTCTGTTTTTGGCCAGTGGCAATGTTTTCTGTTCCTTTTAACCTACCTCTAAGATACAAATGAATTCCAGTGGCCCATTGGAATATCGGAAAACCACCAGGTCTTATTTTTACAAGGAGCAGGCTATGGTCACTATAAAGAACAAAATTGATTCAGTTTCCTTTTTTCTTAAATGATAATAGTTCTTTCTGTTAATGATATCTTCATTCACTTGGTTAGGAATTAATGTGTCATATTTCTTCTTTTTAGTTTCTGAGTGTATCTTCTTTCCTTATTTGATGGCAGGTTTTTTTGTTTGTTTGTTTCTGTTTTTTTATTCTTAAGCAGTGGTTCTCAAAAAGTCATAATAATTTGATTTGTCACTGAGTTGACATTTGTGCTGTTGGTGTAAAAGCAATGGTTTATGAAATTGCTGGCTAATTTAGTGTGATTCAGTGCAGAAAACCGCAGTGTACCAGTAGTCATTGTTTTCCTCACTACCCTGCACTCAAACAGAAAAGAAAACACAACGATACACAGCAGTTCTATTGAAAATTTTTTCGATGAATACTAAATTTTAAATTTTAATAAACCACCTCAAGTACATCTCTATCATATTCATTGCAACAAAAGATAATGTGTGCATGAAGCATTTGTACATATTGAAGTATGTTGACTGTGCCATGGAAAAGTGTTTATGTACTTTGTGTTGTGAGCTCATTGCTTTTTTTTTAAAATGGAAAACCATTTTTGCTTAAAGAATGACACATTATCATCATTCAGATTTAAGTGAGTGATAGATACTTCAGTGAAACAACTTAAAGCAAAAGAAGGTAGCAATTCTTGGTGTGACTGATAAAATTTGAGCTTGAGAAAAAATTAGAATTTTAGGAAACTTCTTTTTGCTCCGAAGTACTTAAAGAATTTTCTGATGACATGGGTGCTGATGTAACATTTGGGAGATTTGCATAATTCAGTGAAGCAGTATTTCCAATGAATGATAAAAAAAAATGCGTGTGTAAAACATTCATTTAATGTGCAATGTGGACCAACTGATTTTAATTTGGATGAAAAATTCATTTAAAGATTTCAGATTCTGTGATGCAACTACCTTATGAAACTCCAGATTGCTGAATCAGGTGTGAATGTTCACAGTTCCATGAAAAGGCCATGAAAGTACTCGTCCCTTTTCCAATTGCATATCTGCAGTGAGGTCATATTTTCAGAAAACACTTTAATTCTAACAACATGTCCCAAAAGGGTGAAGGCAGAAGCATTAATGCAGCTGTCTTCTAGGCTAGACATTAAAGGAATTTGTAAGAATTGAAAAACATGTGACTCTTCTCACTGCAAGTTATTGTTTTGAGCTGTATATTTAATTTTTAGAAATATATGTTATCTGTTCAGTCATATAGTTTTAAATAAATTAATAAAAGTGCTTAAAATATTGGTTTTGAATCCCAGCATGATCAGTAACCAATAGTTATAACCCATATCAATAAAAAGCTCTTTAGAATCCTCAAGTTTTAAATGTGTGAAAGGGTTCTGAGACCATATACTTGAGAATTGTTTTAGAGTGCAATCGAGAATTAGAAAAACTACATAGATCTGAAACTGGAGAGGTTTGCCCCGGTGCATCTAACATTGAGATCAAAGGTAGGACATGGTGCTAGAAAAGCTGGAAAAATTGGAAGATAACAGGTCAGGTATGAGGAGAAACTACACGTCTCTGAAAGTTGCTGGCTGCCTTATTTCTTTTCAAATCATATTTTTTATATTTATTTTTGAGAACTCTGTTGTTTTCTGTGTTTTTAATTTTTGAATGAAATAGTGTCAGGGACTTTGCTGTGGCAAGTAGCATTGGTATCTGTGCCATCCAGACACAGTTATGTATTTACTAAGTCATTTCTTCTTAAAACTCAAGAGTTTTATTCTTGTAATCAGAATTGGGTTCTTAATTTTATAGTAGAACAATTTGCAAATATCAACAGGATTTAGAAATTTCAAGTTACATTTCACATATATTTTTTCAAATATTATAACGTTGAGTTTACATATTTTTTTACAAGTTATTTTTGATTCATTCGAACAGGTAAGTATTGTGTACTTTGTGTCCATAGCTTAATCCTTGTCCTAATGGAAGGTTCCTACCAAATAAAGCCTCCTGCCTGATGCCAAGAGAATTTTTATAACACTACAAATACAGTGTAACCACTGTCAATTGACATTCTCTATTTGGTTCAGTTCCTGGAGCTGATTAAAGTAGTTAGGATTCACACAGTAGTAATCTTAGACTTGGATTGAGAGCCCCTAGAAATTTGTTTGGTAAAGAACTTCAGCGAGGGCAGCCCAAGTTCAGGGAATGACATGTGTGGAGAGGCATTGGCCTTACTTAGAATGTACGTCCTGTTCTGGAAATGACAAACAACATTTCTGTACTTTTCAGTGTAAGGAGATAGAGGAGGACAGGTAGTACCTTCTATGTCATGAAAACATATTTTAATTTTCTCTGGCATGCTGCATAGCACCTTTAAATAATTGTGAAGAGGGGATTAGCAGACTCAATTAGTGTTTTAGAAGACATCAATCTGGCAGTGTTACTGAAGGACCTTTAGCAGGAGGTGAGGTTCAGAGGTAAAAGATCTGTGCAGAGATCTCAAAAAGGTCTGCTTTCTGTGCAGAGAGCTCAAAAAATTTGTGGACTTGAGGTGATGCTTAGTAGGCAGTTAAATGTAAAAATTGCAAAGTTGGGTAAGAAAGATATTGGTTAATGACAAAATGTACTGAGGGAATACCAAATAAAGAAAGGATGAGGTTTTAAATAAATTACTGAACTAACTGAATGTACAGTCCAATGTTCATTTTGTGCTGTTCTTATTTTTATACTTAGCTCATTGAATGATTTTGTTTGTTCATTTATTTATTTTGAAAGCATTTGGGTTTGAACTTAGGGCCTCATGCTTGCAGAGGCAGGTGCTCTTACGGCTTGAGCTACTCCACCAGCTCATGATATGATTTTGTGAGTTGTATGATGGAGAGGAGGTCATCTGTCAGCATTATACCCATTCATTTCATTTGTTCTTAATGACTGTACCACACATTTATCAAAACCTTTTCCTGAAAGTTTTGTGTTATCATGATTACATTTCCAATATTTTGATAACATTGATGTTAAAGTGAAACTTCATGTTGTAAAGTCATAAATAATTATAAAGGACATTGAGAACGGACATTTTATCCAGTTTCTGTATAATTGTACCCCACAAGTCGTTTTTTAGATTAAAGAAGGTTATTCTTTACTGCAGAATGTTAGTCTAGACTAAAGAATATTTGTGAACTTGAGTTTGTATTGAAATAATAGGTCAGTTTAGGATAAGGTAACAGTGAGTTTAATGATTTGCTGTCAGGAAGAATTCTTATTTTCTTTTCTGTCCTCTTGTCTACTAACTTGAATTTTATCCTTTTCTCACTAAAATGCTTCCACTGAGAAGGACGTAAGCGTAAAAAGCACAAAAAACATTTTAAGAAACGTTTTAAAGGTCTTGATCGCTCAAAAGGTAGGTAAAAGTAGTTTTTATGCCATGTGTTTTTATACACATTGCCACTTGATTTCCGTCTTGGAAGGTAAAATTAATGTTAGATTACAATTTAACTTCATATGTAAGTTTTAAGTTGGAAATGCATATTACATTCTAAAATACATCTTAAAGAAAAAGACAAGAATAGGTGTAATTTCTATTGAGTAGTACCCCAGCTCTCCTTTGTTCTTTATTTAAGAGGTATGTAAGAATTTCAACCCCTGAGCTTGTATTTGTCTGTTTTTTATAGATAAGCCAAAAGAAGCCAGAAAGGATACATTTTTGGAAAAATTGGCAACTCAAGTAATAAAAAATGTACAAGTAAAAATTACAGACATTCACATTAAATATGAAGATGATGTAAGTCATTTTAGTTTCTTGGTTTAAGTTGGTAATTAAATGTGTATCTTGACTTCTTGTGTATGTATGAAGTATTATGATTGTGTATTATGTATTGTATTATGATTTCTTGTGTATATGTGAATTACCTCTACCCAATTTAAATCCAAAGTTGAGTTTTGTTTTTTTTTTTAATGATTATGTTTCCGTAACTCCTTTATCTGTGTTAGGCATCTACAAATGTAAATATAGCTTAAAGCCACCACATAGATTGTTCTCTTCTTTTTTTGAATTTTGCCATTTTTGTGTGTGGTATAATTTAAAGAAACTAATTTCCTTTTATGTCCACAAAGTGGGACTCTTAAGATTCTGGCCACTTGGGTATAGCCCATGGAGTTGGAATGAATTACCCACAAGCAGTCACATTCCTTACATGCACAAGTTTAAATCAGTTGAGGTGTTTAACTTAGTTAATGTTATATCTTGAGATTAATATATGTTGTTCAAAACTTTGAAGAACATGTAAGAAAGCACATGTAAGAATTTTATCATTTACTCAGGAAATTGGAAGTGTTTTTCCATTTCTTCTACAAATGAGTTTGCATTTTTTTTTGATTTTTCATTTTTCTAAAGTTTGAGTTGAATTAAAGCAATACTGACATACAGGTTTTTCCTTTCCTACATTCTCTATGTAGCTTAATATTCAGTAGCACATCCTTACATTTTTAAAATACTCTATTTTATTCAAACTTTACTTTTTGGTTTTATGGTGTTACTAATGAGAATTTTTAGTAGCAAACAAATGTCTTAAAAAATCTAAGTTACAAGTGTCCACATTTATAACAAACTCAGGAAAATAAAGTGTATTCAACATATGGACTTAAAAAACTGATTAAAACTGTGGAGAAATGGGAACACTTACACACTATAGGTGGGAATGTAAATTAGTATACCTGTTTTAGAAAACTGGGGAGTTGCCCTAAAAAACTGGAAATGAAATTAATGTAAATTCCAGCAGTCTTACTTCTGGGTAAATAGCTAAAAACATCAAAATCACTATTTTGAAATACATGACATGCAGTCATGTATTCATTGAAAACATTATTCATAGTAGCTAAGATATGGAAACAGCTGAAGTGTCTTTCAGCAGATGAATGGACAATGAAAATGTGTGTGTACACAATTAAATTCTGTTCAGCCTTAAAAAAGGAACAACATCCATCAACAAAATGGATGGAAATGGAGATCATTATGTTAAGTGAAATTAGGCATAGAAAAAACATTTCTTCGTGATCTTACTTGTATGTGGTGTCTAAGAAAGTGAAACTTCTCAGGAGGCAGAGATCAGGAGGACTGTGAATTGAAACCAGCCTGGGCAAACAGTTTGTGAGCCCCTGTCTAGAAAAAAACCCATCACAAAAAAGGGGTTGGTGGAATGACTCGTGTAGACCCTGAGTTCAAACCCCAGTACTGCCAAAAAAAAAAAAAAAAGTCAAACTCATTGAAATGGAAACTAGAATGGTGGTTATCAGAAATTGGGGGCAGGAAGGAGAGGAAGAAAGTGCAGTTAGACAGGAGAAATATTGTCACTATAGTTAGTAATAATGTGTAATTCAGAATTGCCATAAGAGTAGATTTTAAATGTTTTCACCATAAGAAAATGCTAAGCATGTAAGTTGCTAAGTATGTTTATACCCTGATTTGATTTTCCAGTGTTTACATATACAGAAACATCACATTGTGCTAGGTTTAATACATGCAGTTGTTCATGTCCACTAAATCAACAGAAATTCCCTAATGATGTGACTGAATGAGAACCTCAGTTTGAGCCTAATAAGCTTTTTACTGATTAACTACAATTAGAAAGGCACATTATGTCTCTTCATTTAATAGGAAAAAAAATGTGCAGGAGTCAGATAAATAGCATGAATCATATTTAAATTGATACCAGTGATAAAATAAAGGGAAGAAAATGAAAAAGTGCAAAGCGCTCTTATATAAGATATCTTTCAACTTGATTATCTTATTTGTATCTAGGATATGAGAAACAGTTAAAAATGGGAGAAGTAATAATTTATCATAAAGATGTTTGCTGGATAATTGTATTAATTTGGAGTTGTGTTTTGTTAAAGTTTCTTTTGAAATAGTTGCAAGTTATTCTGAAGTAGTTATTTGTAGGTATAAAAAAGATGAGTATACGATAAAAGGAATATGTTACTGTAAATCATTATATATTCGATATTAATTAAAAATAAGACCCATAGCTTTATGTGTGCTTTTCAACTACTCTAGAGCATATACATATGTATACTTCCTATTATTTGCGAGTGGTTCATGTGACAAAACTATGGAGTTCCACTGGATGATTTAGGACTTTAGCGTTCCCTCTCCTGAGTTTCCTAGTTTCTGTCATGGCCAGACAATTCTATAAGAAATTTGAACATCTCTAGGATGTCCTAGTCAATGATACTGTGCACATTGTTGAGTAGTTTAAGCACAGTGTATAAATACAACTTAGGTATTGAAGGTTAGAAATAGAACAACAGCTTATCATTAATAGATTTTGGGAATAGAGACTGAGGAAATATTAAGAATTTATAGGCCATTGTGGAGGTGCATGCCTATAATCCCAGCCCTCAGGAAGCTAAGGCAAGGGGATTGTGAGTTTGAGGCCAGATTGGCCTACATAGTGATACCCTATCTCTAAAGAAAATCTAGTTTATTCCTAATGAAGCTTTTATTTAAGTGTTAAGAAAAGTAAAGGCTTGCAGGTAGGTGTGGTGGTGCTTTCCTGTTTTTCCAGCTCTGAGGAAGATGTGGTCTGTGGCTGGCCCCTGGTAAAAACTCAAGAACCTACTTGAAAAAGAACTAAAAGAAAAAAGGATTGGGGATGTGGCTCAGGAGGTGGACATCTGCCTACCAAGTGAATATGAGTTTAACCCAGTACCACACCCCCAAAGAAAGAAAGAGGAGGGGAGGCCTAAACAGTTCACATCTCCAAGGGTGAAAATCTTGCATGTTTGATCAGGTTTTTAGTGGTAGTGTCTTCTTTAGCATCTGGTTTTACTTTTCGGTGAAGAACATCTTTAATGACACACTTAAAAAGACTGTCCCTTTCTACTCTAGCAAAGAATCTGTTTGATCATAGTTACTTCTAGTAAGAAGAGTTCTACAGGGAAATTGCCATACTAGTGTCATAGCAGTGTTGGTACTGTGAAAGATGAATAATGCCAGCATGCTTTTGCCTTCCTCTCCTTCCTTTTAACTTGTGTCATTTATTTGTAAATACTTTCCATCTGCTGCCTATTGTAAAGGGTGTAATGTGCATTCACTTTCACATTCAGTGTATTTAAATGTCCTTTTTCTTTTTTGGCAGGTGACTGATGTAGCGAGACCTCTTTCATTTGGTGTCACATTGGGAGAATTTAGTTTATTGGTAATTTTGCCTTACTTAAAATGTCTGTGCAACCTGTAAAATACTATTCTGAAGTCACAAGCTGAATCAACCAAAATCAACTATTGCTACAAATAGCTATTACTTTTATGAATTATCTTGCTATAACTTTTCTAGAAATTGAACATGTTTATTGGTGCTATTATATTTTCTAATTATTTTTGTTTCCTGGGAACAAATATCAGAATACACTTATCAAACAAATTGGAAGTAATAAAAGTGGTATCATAAACTCGGGGGAAGTAGGAACATTTGAGTTTCTGTGGAGTTCTATACTCATACTTGGTACAGGCTCACGGGATTGGGGCAGGTGTGTTTGTTTATGTGCACACATATGTGTTCCACTAGGATGTGTGTCAAGTTGTTTTGATTAGATACTTCATAATGCAGTGTTTTTCTCCTAAAGGGTAGAGTTATGCATACACAAGATAGACATTTTTTTTCTCTCTTATTGGCAACTAAGTTGTAAGAAACCTGTTTTGAGGTATGAAAATGAAAAACTAGCTAAACTATGTTTTTCTGTGGATAAAAAGATGTGTTTCACTTAAGTACTTTTAAAGTCAATTGTAACAAACAGTAAAGTATACTGTGCACAGTTTGTCTTGTGACTGGTTATATGGGGAGGTCCTCAGTAGGGAAAGAAGAGGAAGATAACAGAGAAGCAGACAGAAGGACATAATTATATGGAAACTTAAGAAAGATAGGTGCATGTAGAGAAGTAGAGATTGACATGGAGCCAAAGAACAAAGTAGAAACAATGAAGAGCTGGAGACAGAAAGAAAGGGAGTCTGGAAGCCTGTGCTTCATATTGATTATTCTCTGCTTATTTCCAAAGTGCATTTGAAGTAGCTTTTGATAAAAGATAGAAGTATACCATAACACCTTTTAAGAGAACAGAAACTGAGTTCTTAGACTAACACTCATTGAGGTCATAAGTACCATAGTATTTAACTTTGAGCTTCTAACAAAGAAAGCAAAGTACAAATAGCATGTACTTTCTAGAATCTGATAAGAGGCCCTAGTGCATAAGAATGTGTAGTTTTCTTAGTGAGTGCTGCTTGATTCTCTGTATCTTTGATTAGACTCTTCATTCTGCCTTATTTTCTGTATCACTCTTCCCTTTGTCTGCCTGGTGATTCTCCTCAGGTTTTCATACTTATGTGAGATATTACTTTGTCTCTCCATTCTTTTTGTACTTCCCTCATAGGATTTGCCATTGCCTCTTTTATGTTCCCCATTGTATTTTATCAAAGACCTGTAATGTTTTATTATACTGGGTACCACGTTGATGCTTCTATCTAAACTACATTTATTCCCTGGTTGAGAGGTACCTTCCTTTTAATGCTTTTGTGATTAAATGAGTTAGTCTGGTTAAAGTCCTTGACACACTGTCTGGCTCAATTACTTCTTCAACTACTAGAGTGGCTGTTATTAATGACAGTAACAGGAAACCACCTATCTCTTTTGTGTCTATATCATTCTTCCATCTTTCCGATTACAACCTAACATTTAAAGCTACAGTAGTCTTCCACTTCTGATCAGGATCTTACCTACACTTCCCTACCTTCATCCCTTTTTCCTTCTTTCCATCACTCTCCCTCTCTGTCCTAAATCTTCAACCCCCCCCTTCTCTCTCTCTTTTTCCCTCCCATCTCCTTCATATAAGCATTTAAACACATTTTTTTTTTTTCTTTTTGTGGTACTGGGGTTTGAACTAAGGGCCTCACACTTGCTAGAGAGTTGTCACTCCACAAGTCTTTTAAACACATTCTTGTCTCTCCTTTACAACAAAATTAAAAAGATCCTCCTTTCCTTTCACACACCCAATTCAGACTCCTTAACTACTGCCTTCTCTTTGTTTCTAACCAGACTTTGAGTTTTCTTTCTTCCCATGCTATCCTCCTTTCTCACCTCCTGCCAGTTCCCACCCACTGTACTCTGACTCTGTCCTCCCTCTGAAACATCCCACTAGTTTATTAGTAATGCCCTTGGTATTAAGTAAGTTTAGTATTTGGCTTGCTGACATGGTAGAACTGTGATTTCCATGCTCTCCTGGTTTTTATCCTACTGTACAGTAAAGTTTCTTAAGACCTTATACCTTCTTCAGTAGAGTAGTTGCTGGCTGTCTGTTTTTAGATAACTAAAAACAGAATTCCTTCCACAGTTCAGACACATAGTAGCCCAATAATTATTTTCTGAATCAAGGAACTCAGTTTTTCATTATTCCTTTGTTTATGCCATATAAATAGGTAGAGAAACAAGTAGCTGACATTAGCTAGATGTCTTTTGTTACTTAATTATTATGCCACTGTTTAAAAATATTATAGCACTGTTGTGTGACATTTAGAGCATATTTCAGTTTCTCCCTTTTCTTTTTAGACTACAAATGAACACTGGACTCCCTGCATATTAAATGAAGCAGAAAAAATTATATACAAGGTATTGTATTTTAGTAGAGTGAAAATTCTGTCTCTTTCCTGGTACAAATACTTAATATACCTTCTTGAAGAAGTGGTGAATCAGAATGTGCCATTAGTGTGAATTACAAGTCTAGATATTTGTGTTTTTAAAAACCAACTTGCTATATATAAAAATTTCAAATTTCTTTTGTGTAGATTAATTTTTACATTTGTATAGGTATGAATGTCAGGGTTTAAACAGATTAAAGTCAGAATTGGCAATGAAAGTCAGTATACAGCGATCAGAACTTCATAGAAACCCCTTATCTGGTTCTACCTTGCCCTGAAAGTATCATCAATTTGAAGTTTGAATATTTACTCTGCAAAAATGTCTTATCTAGTCTTAGATAAGATGTGTCTACAGATACATCTTATCTAAGACTAGACCAAAATCAATATATCAGAGCTTCAAACACTTTGGGAAATGCTGAAATTAAGTACAAGCTTATAGTAAATGGACTGATTTTTATTAACTGCTTTTGACTATATAAAATACTGATATTTACAGAAAACCTGGCCACCTTCGTGTTACGATAAAAGTGCCAGCTGTAATGCCAGAAGATAATGTCTGTTTCAAAGAAGATAAAGTCTGTCTCAAAAGTGAAAATACACTTATTTTAAATGGTCACTGTCAATAAAAATAGATCAAGTGGTGGATAAAATGTTTTGACTCAGCTTCTTCCTATGTGATGCTCTGTAATTACTACTTACTTGGTTTCTTCACCATTGAGTGAAGAAACTAGATAAAATTAATATTTCCCAGTGGTATTTGTGAAGCTTTAGTCAATTGAGATATAATTAGTTGTTGTAGGAAAAATATTTTCTTATCAAATAAGAGTACTTATTAAAGTACTAATTAAACAAGTGTGTTCATTTTAAAAAACTGTAGGACTTTACAATACTTTTAACTCTGCTAATAAATATTGTTAATATCTAACAGGGATATTTATTTAGTATGTAGCTATCCCCACTTTATTAATTATAGCTACCTCTCTCACCATCCCTCTTTTGAAAACAGCCCTTGGTATCTGCTTGGAGGATGATGTCTTTTTTTTTTTTGCCAGCAAAACATTTACTGAGTCTGCTCTTGCTAAATTATTAATAAATATTTGATATTTTAATGAATGAATCTCTTCAAAATTGTGTTCCCAGAAACACTAACAAATGCCAAACAATAAAATTTTGTGAATGTATTTTTCTTCATTTGTACATTATTTTCTTTGAAAGTTCATAATGGCAATTGGTAATCTGGAAACATGAGAATTATCTTTTAATGTTGATGTATAGTTCCAGTGGGTTTGTTGCTTGATTGCTTTCATTTTTCTTTTGTAGCTGATCAGACTTGACAGTCTTAGTGCCTACTGGAATGTAAACTGCTGTATGTCTTACCGTGGATCAAGGGAGCAGATCTTGGTAATTTCAGTTTATACCTGAAAGAGTTAACTACATTCCCTAAATGTGCTTGATAAGAGAGGTCCTTGACAAGGACAGGATTTCAGACATTTGCTTTGCTGTACAGCACTAAATCAGAAGTGTGAAAAATTGTTTTTGAAATCTGTTGTTTGATTTCAGAGATCTTTATGAAATCATTCACAGTGACATGAGAGTCTATTAAAATTTCACTTACAGCCTTTCATACTCATTTTGATGGTATTCTTGTTAAATTGTGTTATTTCATAGGAGAATGATTCAGAATACTATAAGGAAAAATGATACCTTTCAGATCTAAGCATATATCTTTGGCAAATATTTTAAGTATTTGTGATGATGATTTCCTGAATAGTGGAAGATTAAGTCAACCCTTCAACATGCTGAGCTAATCTTAGTCATGTTTCTTAGAGGAGAAAGGCAGAATAGTTGGATTTTCTGAATTGGATAAATTTCAAGGTTCTATCTCTTACTTCTCAGAAAAGTAACATCATTCGCTTTTGACTAGAAATTTGTGGATTTATATGATTTTGTTTTCAAAATCAGAACATTACAACGTTTCTAGATACTTAGAGGTTGAAAGAATAACCTGCTTTTATGTATTTATAGTAAAGAAATGTGTCTGTAAATAATGCTCTATGCATTTTCCTTATGGACTAGTAGTTACAAAGAGTAATAAAGATACTGATGTAAGAAGCAAGATTTCTTTTTTGTATTTGTGGCTGAATATGTGTGCATTTTCTTTTTCATTCTCATATAATTAAAAAATATTCTTTTTGTTTAGGATCAATTGAAAAGTGAAATTCTTACAAGTACAAATGTATCCCCAAACCATCAGTACAGTAAGTACTAGTGACAGTTGATTTCATGCTATAAGAAGGAACATGGAAGTAAATATTTTAACAGTTTTTCTAATAAAGTCACTTTATACTCTAGCTTTACACTATATAGCATTTTTGGATTACATCTAATTATTTAGGAGTAGATCATAAATGTACACCACTGGAGAATGAGAGAGAAGGGCCAGTATAGCTACGGTTCTTTCCTGCAGCTGACTTCCTTTGACACCCTTGTTTTCTTCACATTTTGTTACTGCATTTGTTGTTTTAGGACTTAGATTTTCTTCCTTCCTTTTTTCCTTCCATTCTTTTGAAATCTCTGACATCTTGGTATTGAGGTTACCCTAGGGTATCACTATTGCAGTGTTAAGATAAACCAACCACTCAGACATTTTTAAAAGTGAATTCAAAATTTTTTTAAAGTGATGGATTTTTTTAAAATTTAACACTTTTATTAGCATATATTAATTGTATGGGGTGAGGGGTGTCATTATGACAGTTCCATGCATGCTTATAATTCACCTTGGTTTGGTCATCCCAGCATCACTCTCCCTTATCCTTCTTCCCCCCTACTTAAAAAAAATTCATGTTTCATTGTTTTATTTTTATCAGCCATATTCACCTTCTTTTACCCCTTCCATTCTTCCTCACACTAATACCACCCACTAGCAGGACCTGTTTTATAATCCTGTGCTTTGTTTTTAAGTGTATATTCATTGGTCAAAGGGTTTTTACCATGGTCTTTCACCTGTGAATATACCGTACTTCAATTAGATAACCCCTTTATTACTCTTCCTTACCTCTTCTCCCTTACCTGCTATTATCAACAGCTTTCAGTGTGTTTCATTTTGCTTTCTTCCTATACAGATACAAAGTATTTCAGTATTGCTCACTCCTTTATCATTCTTTTCCTCTTCCTTTTCCCCAGTCCCCATTATTATAACCTGTTCAACCTGTGCTCGGTCTCTCTCTCTCTCTCTCTCTCTCTCTCTCTCTCTCTCTCTCTCTCTCTCTCTCTCTCTCTCTCACACACACACACACACACACACACACACACACACACACATGATGTTTGTATTTGTGTATATGGTTAGCTTCTGGATCTTCCACATATGTGAGAAAACATGAGACCTTTGTCTTTCTGAACCTGGTTTACTTCACTTAACGTGATCTCCAGTTTTATCCTTTTATTTAAAAATGATATAATTTTGTTCTTCTTTACGATTGAACAATATTCCATCATATATATACCATGTTTTCTTACTCCACTGATCTGTTGTTGGGTATCTGAGCTGTTTCCACAACTTCGATATTGTGAATAGTGCTGCAATAAACATGGATGTGCAAGATCTCTGTTGTAGAACTTTTCTCTTTTTTGGCACCCTCTTCTTTATCTAAAAAATAGATCTAAACAAAGCTGTCTGCTTATTTAGCTGTATTCTCCATTTCAGTTTCATTCTAAAGACACTATCGTTGTTATTTGTGTCCCTTTTATAACTGCCCTCGGCTGTCATACCCACGTCCTTCCTTTTCCCATGCCTCTCTGGCTCACTGTTGTTTTCTTCCTGTTCCAGTAACTGTCACTGGATAGTGGTACTTTCTGTTAGGGTCACAGACTTCTCTGATTAATGATGATAGAGTTTTAAAGTGCTCCCAGTTTGTGAAAGAACTAATTCAGAAAAATCTGCCACTTCATTCTTAGGCATTTATAAATAACCTATAAATCAGTTAAAATTTTTGTACAATCTTATACAAATTTTAATTCTCATAAGGGGTCATAGTTTACATAGTTTTAATGCTATTTGCAGTTAATCATCTTACTTTATACTACCTGTTATCTTCCCTAATATGCCTTTTATTACTGCTACTCAGCCTCAAGAATATTTTCTCTAATTGACTCTAAGATTATATATCTATAATCAATTTAAAAATGAAGGGGGGAGAAATGAACCAAGCCTTGTATGCACATATGAATAATAAAAGAAAAAAAAAAGAATTCTTTGAGGATGAACCAATTCAGGTATAATATACATACATATATATATATGAAAATGTCACAATGAAATCCCTGTATAACCATCATAAACAAACAAACAAAAAAAATCAAAGTGTTGAGTAATTTTTTTCCTGGGATAATTTTATTTACGATTCTGCTCCTACATTCTGCCAGTGATTTAACTGAGACAGAAAGTAATTATATTTCATTTCCTTCCTTGTATTAACATATTTAATGAATAATGAAATCATTAAATGTCTTTTAGCAAGGAAGAGAAACGTAATTCTATAAAAGGTTATCTCTTTATATAAAATTTCTCATTTCTTACCTAGAAGGATAGGACTCCAATTTCCTCCTTGGAGATTCTGCATTAATAGATGAGCTTGATAATTGATACGATACTGATACTTAGATGTTTTAGTGTTGGGGGAGTGATTTTGTTACCTCTACTGTGGATTATTTTTACTTTCAGAGTAACAGTGTTCTCATAATTACTTATGGTTTGTTGATATGTAAGAGTATATAAACATATCTTATGTCTTCTCATGTGATGTAAGTTTTCCAGCCAATATCTGCCTGTGCAAAACTCTACATGAATCCATATGCAGAAAGAGAGCTCAAAACGCCTAAACTGAATTGGAACATAGAAGTACAAAATATTGCCATTGAACTGACCAAGCCTCAAGTAAGATTCAGTTGGATATTTCTAGCTTTGATTAGGCTTGAATCTGGACTTTATTGTGATTATTCCTTCTCTAATGGTTTATGTGGTTGTACTTTTGGTTCATTATGTTGAGATTTGACTCTTCAAAAAATGTTTTTAAAAGAAAAAAATTTCAGATTTAAGAAATGTTTTTTATTTAATCTGTTATTTTCAGAAATGAAGGGGAATCTTCTCAAACTATAGCAAATAACATTTGTATTTAATTTACAATTAAATGGAGTATGTAATGTGTTTTTCTTAGGTTTTAATAGCAGACACTCTTATATTAAATATTCTTTATTTAATTTTTAGAACAGTTCTGTTAGCAGCTTTATACTGCATTTGTTTCCCAAGTGTGATTATATGCCCAGAGAGTTTGGATAGCAGACCTGGAGAACTGAACTGAAAGAAGAAGGGCAGGAGATTTAGCTAATGGTATATTAAATATTCTTTAATTTTTTTAGAACAGTTCTTGTTAGCCAGCTTTATAACTGCATTTGTTTCCCAAGTGTGATTATATGCCCAGAGAGTTTGGATAGCAGACCTGGAGAACTGAACTGAAAGAAGAAGGGCAGGAGATTTAGCTAATGGAGCTTTCAGCCCAGTGCTTTCCAATAAATATAATGCAAATTGTTTTGTAATTTTCAATTTTGTAGTATCTACATTAGTAAACTAAAACTGAAAAGGTAAAATTATCTTTAGTAATGTATTTTACTTAACATTTCTATATATCATTTCAGAATATTATGAACATAAATATTGTAACAAAATTTTTTATATCACTTTTCTTTCCGTTAAGTTTTTACTAGACGTGTTTCAAGTGCTGAATAGTCATGTTTATAGGTAATCTTTAGGTAGAGTTGCATTAAGAAAAATTAGGAGGAAGCTTGACTTTCTCATTGTAGCCACAGTTTCCCTTTTGTGTATGTGTGTGTGTTTGTGTTTTCCTCCATTTGAATTATTTATCAGATTACACAAAGTTGCTGATAAGATATGTGATTACATAGCTTCATCTTGCTTCAGTTATGTGGTAAATTGGTGGAGCAATGAAAATCAGCTCATTTATAGCTACTGCTAAAATGATGATCCAAATTAAAAATAAGTAGTTTTAGAAACAGGCATTTTCTTTTATTTTTTTTATAGCATATAATAGTTGTACAGGGGGCTACATTGTGATATTTACATTTGTGCTTACTGTGTATCTTAGATTTACCCCCTCCATCATTCTCCCTTCTTCCCCCCTTTCTTGGAACAATTTCAACAGGCTTCATTCTTCTGTTTTCATATATGAATACAAAATATATCCACTATATTAACCCTTATTTACTCTTTCTTAGTCCTTCCCCTTTCCACTGGTACCCACCCTGGTAGAGACCTGTTTCACCCTCTTGTCCTTCGTTTTTTAAAAAAAAGTGTATATTGATAGTCCAGGGGGGTTTCATCTTGTCATTTCAGACATACACATATCATGCTTTAATCAGATTAACCCTCCCATTACTTACCAGTTCCTCTATTATCACGCTCCCCTATTCAACAGCTTACAGCACCTTACATCATATTATAGTCACATATAGAAGTGATGTTTCAATGTTTTTCATTCTCTAACATTTTCTTCCCTTTTCCTGCCTCCTGAGTCCCCTCAGACAGACCCATTAATACAATTTTGTTCTTTCTCATTATATATATTTTTGTGTATGTATGTGTATGTATGTATTTATATGATAACATGTATTTATGTGTACATTTAACTTACAGGTTTAGCTTCCACATATGAGAGAAAAATGTGACCTTTGACTTTTTCAGCCTGGCTTACTTCGCTTTACGTGATGTTCTGCAGTTCCATCGTTTACCTGAACACAACATAATTTCATTCTTTTTTATAGCTGAATAAAAATCCATTGTGTATATATACTACATTTTCTTAATCTATTCTTTAGTTGTGGTGTATCTGGGCTGTTTCCAAAGCTTGGCTGTTGTTAATAGTGCTGCAATAAACATGGGTGTGCAAGTGTCTCTATCATATCCTGGAGCACATTCCTTTGGATGTATGCCCAGGAGTGGTATCGCTGGATTGTAAAGTAGCTCTGTTTCTAGTTTTTTGAGGGATTTCCATGCTGCTCTCCATAGTGACTGTACTAATTTACATTTCCCACAAACAGTGTAGAAGTATTCCTTTTTCCCCATATCCTTACTAGCATTTGTTACTGTTTGTTTTATGTATGAGAGCCATTTTGACTGGAGTGAAGTAGAATCTCAATGTAGTTTTGATTTGTATTTATTTTATGGCCAAGAATTCATGTAGTTATTGGCCATTTGTACTTCTTTTGAAAATTGTCTGTTCTGTTCATTTTCCCATTTACTCAGTGGGTTGTTGATTCTTTGGGAAGTTAGTTTTTGAGCTCCCTGTACATTCTGGTTATTTATCCCTTTTCAGATATATAGCTGACAAAGATTTTCTTCCATTCTTTAGGCTGTCTCTTCAGTCTAGTGACGGTTTCCTTTTCTGTACAGAAAAGTTTCATGCAGTCCCATTTGTTAATCATTTCTCTTAGTTGCTGAGTTTTGTTCATAAAGTTACTACCTGTGCGGTCCAGTGTGTTCCCTTTTTTTTCCTGGAGTAATTTCGCCATTTCGGATCTTACATTAAGATCTTTAATCACACTGAATTGTTGCTAGTACAAGATGAGTTGACTGGGATCTAGTTTCAGTCTTCTTTGGGTAGATATCCACTTTTTCCCTACACCATTGGTTGAAAAGGCTGTCTTTTCTCCAACAAATATTTTGGACTCCTTTGTTGAAAGTCAGACAGCTATAGTTGTGTCAGGGTCTTCTGTTCTATTCCATTGGTCTTCATCTTTTTTTTTTTTTTTGCCAGTGTCATGTTGAATTTATTACTATGGCTCTGCAGTATAGTTTGAAGTCAGGTATTATGACACCTCTAGCATTGTTGCTCTTTTGGCTCAGGATTGCTTTGGGTATTCGAGGTCTCCTGAGCTTCCATATGAACTTTAGGATTGATTTTTCTATCTCAGTGAAGAATGTCATTGGCATTTTGATAGGGATTGCATCAAATAATATAGATTGCTTTTGATAGTGTCGCCATTTTCACAATACTGATTCTGCTGATACATAAGTACAGGATGATCTTCCATCTTTTAATGTCTTCATTGATTTCATTCTTTAGTTATTTATAATTTTCATTGTATAGGTCATTCATCTCCTTTGTTAAATTTATTCCTAGGTATTTTAATTTTTTTGAAGCTGTTGTGGGGGTTTTTTGTTTTTGTTTTGCTTTTCATTGGGATTGGGGTTTGAACTCAGAGCTTCGTGTTTGCAAAGCAGGTACTTTTACTGCTTGAGCCACACCTCCAGTCCTTGAAGCTGTTGTGAATGGTATTGTTTTCCTGATTTCTTTCTCATACTGTTTATTGTTTTTGTATGGAAATGCTTCTGACTTTTGTGTATTGATTTTGTACACTTATTTTGCTGACCATGTTTATGAATTATGAGAGTTTTTTGGGTTTTTCAGGTATAACATATCATCTGCAAATAGGGACAACTTCTTTCTTTCCTATTTGAATCCCTTATATTTCTTTCTCCTATCTTACTGCTCTGGCTAGGAATTCCAGCAGTATGTTGAATAAGAGTGGGGAGTAGACACCCTTACCTTTTTCTTGATTTTAGAGGAAATGATTTCAGTTTTTCTCCATTTGGTATGATGTTGTCTATAGATTTGTCATCTATCGCCTTTATAGCAGAATGTGCCTTCTAGTTCTAGTTTCTCTAGAGCTTTTATTATGAAATGATGTTGAATTTTGTTGGAGGCTTTTTCTGCATGTATTGATATGTTGATGTGATTTTTATACTTGATTGTGTTTATGTGTATATTGTGTATGTTGTACCATCCTTGCATTTCTGGGATGAACCCTACTTGATCATGGGGTATGATCTTTTTAATGTATTGTTGGATTGTCTTAGGAAGGATTTTATTGAGAATTTTTGCATTTGCATCAGGGATATTGACCTATAACTTTCCTTTTTTTTTGATGGGTCTTCACCTGGCTTTGGTATTAGGATAATAATGTCTTTGTAGAATGAGTTTGGGTAGTATTTTTTCCCTTTGTACTTTATGGAATAATTTGAGGAGCAAAGGTCTGGTAGAATTCAGCAGTGAATTCATCAGGACCTGATGTGTGTATGTGTATGTGTTTTTTTTGTTTTTTGTTTTTTGTTTTTTTTTCAGGAGGTTCTTTATCACTTTCTCAATCTCTTTATAGATCTGGTTAAATTTTTAATGACTTTTTGGTTCAATTTTGGTTAGCCATATGTGTCAAAATGTTCATCTATTTCTTCATTTTCCAGTTTGCTAGAATTTAGGTTTTTAAAGTATTCCCATATGATCTTCTGAATTTTGTTGGTGTCTGTTGTAATATCCTCTTTTTCATCTCTGATTTTATTAATTTGGGTCTTTTCCTTTTCATTTGAATCTAGGAATTTCTTAGTTTCTTTCCTAATTTCTTCAGTGACCCATTCATTATTCAAGTGTGGTGTTTAATCTCTATGAGTTTGAATGGTTTTTGTGATTTTTCCCTGCTATTGTTTTCTAACTTTATTCCATTATCGTCTGTTAGGATACAGGGGATTATTTCAATTTTTTTATATTGTTGAGGTTTGTTTTATGACCTAAGATGTGATCTATTTTGGAGAAAGTTCCATGGGCTTCTGAGAATGTGTAATCTTCTGCCTTAGGATGAAATACTCCATGACTGTTAAGTCCATTTTGTCTATGGTATTGTTTAGTTCTAGGATATCTTTGTTGATTTTTTTTTTTCCTATTGAAGGGAGTGGGGTGTTGAGATCTCAAACTGTTACTGTATTTGATTCTATTTAGAAATAGGCATTTTATGCCTCATTTTCAGATACAGTATTTTATTGTTTCTAAGATGTACGTTCATTTCATATTTTAATGTATTAGAAAACAGGATACATATTATTGGTAAATGTGACAGTTTTATTTGCAACATTTCTTTTGTAGTGGAACCTAGAATTTATGTTATAATTAATAGTTTCTTAAGTTTGATTAAAAATAGCATATTATTTTTACCATGCATTACTTATTGTTCAGAACTTTGGAATCTCGGAATATTGAAAAATAGAATAATTCTGGTCTTTATTCATGTATGCAGTGTGATAAACATAATTTTGTGTTTGCTTTATAGTACTTAAGTATGATTGACCTCTTGGAGTCAGTGGATTACATGGTTAGAAATGCTCCTTATAGGAAATATAAACCTCATTTACCACTTCATACCAATAGTCGGCAATGGTGAGTTAAAGTTTTGGGTTTTTTGTGGTGGGACTGTGGTTCAAATCAGGGATTTAAGCTTCCAGAGCAGAAACTTTACTGCTTGAGCCAAACCTCCAGTCATTTTTCTCTGGCTATTTTGGAGATGAGTGTCTCTCAAACTATTTGTCCTGGTTGGCCTTCATCCTTGATTCTCCCGATCTCAGCCTCCCAAGTATGTGGGATTACAGGCATGAGCCACTGGTGCCCATCAAATTTTTATTTTAATGAGGAACATAAATCATATAATTAGGGACTCTCAGAATTAAGAAACCTATAAAGCCATATAGTTCAGACCAAATACATCCTCTTATTTTCTGCTTCTGGATTCCCAAATTTTTAGCATCCAGTACTTTGCCTACATCAACTCAGTGTTACAACTCTATATGAATACTGTTATGTGTTACTTAACAGTAGGGATATGTTCAGAGAAATCGATCGTTAAGTGATTTCATCATTGCATAAGCATCATAGAGTGTGCTTATATGATCTAAGAAAGCCATGATGTCACTAGGCAGTATAATCATATTGGACCATTATGGTGTATGTGGGCTGTCAGTTACCAAAAAGTTGCTGTATTGTGCATGACTACCATGTCCCATAATATGTCATTTTGTGTGTTTATGATTTTGCTTTGGTATATCCTATTCCTGGAGGGGTTCCTTATTTTTATTTTTCACTCATTCATTCATTTAGGTGGGACTGTGGTTTGAGCTCAGGGCTTCACACTTGCAAACTAGGCACTCTACTGCTTGAGTGGCACCTCCAGTCTATTTTGCTCTGATTATTTTAGAAATTGGGTTCTCTGGAACTGTTTACCTGTGCTGGCCTTGACTCTCGATCCTCTTGATCTCTGCCTCACAAGTATCTAAGATTACAGGCATGAGCCACCACACCTGACTACGGTTACCTGATTTTATCTGCTTAAGTCAGAGAATTGTGCTAAGAACTTGCAAGGATATTGCTGAATCCTTACTGGAAGATAGTGAGGAAGTGAAAAAAGTTTAATAGTATGGGATCTCTAAAAAAGTCAAAGCTGTTTTCCTCCTTTTTAAAAAACCTTTATATTCAAATGTACATTAATAAACCTTGATTTTCAGGTGGAAATATGCAATATATTCTGTCCTTGAAGTTCATATAAGAAGATACACACAGATGTGGTCATGGAGTAACATAAAAAAACACAGGGAGTTACTCAAGTGTTACAAAGTTGCCTACAAGAACAAACTAACCCAGAGTAAAGTCTCAGAGGAATTACAGAAACAAATTCAGGTCTATTTTTTTTTTTATGTTCCTGAGAGCTGTTGTTTGTCCAACATATCTTTATGCATTTAATTTGAAACAGAATATAATTTTAGAAAGAACAGAGCTCATTTCCCAGAGAGAATGTAAGGAAAAAATGCTGAGTGTTGTTTCTCATTTTTTTCTTCTAAAAAAACCTCTTTTCTCCCACCCTACTATCAGATAAAATAAGGCTACTGGAAAGTCTTTGGGGAAACATATCTTCTTTTTGTAATATTTAGAAAATACTAGACCCTTTTAAATGTTTGTTAGATCTTAATTGTTTTGTTAATAAAAGTCCCTATGTGTGTGATAGTGGCTTTTTCTCAAAGTGTTCAAAATATTATTTATAAAAACAGTTTTTCATTGAGAAACAACAGGAGTATTATTTACCCCTTTTATAAAAAGAATTTAAAAAACACTGAATACGTAATTTGCTTAGTACCATTGTTTTAGGTTATAGAAGTTTCTGCTGCTGATTACATAATGTGAGGAATGAGTTGATTTCTTATTCTGAAATACATGGCAATCACTAGTATGATCTGTAGGGAAAAACACAAGTATTGGAGTCCAATTGACTTGGATTCAAGTCCTTGTATATTTACCAAGTGTTCTGATCATGGCTTCAAGTTCCTCAGCTTCTTAGGTCTAGTGTTCTCATGTATAAGATGGAAATGGTATCTGTCTTACAGAGTTGTGAGAAGTTGTTTGAGAAGATTACATGAATTACCTGGAATACAGGTTATCCAGTAAATCTTAGATTTATATAAACACTTTTACATAAATTCCTAGAATTGTTTCTACTTTAGTCTACTTGTTGACTTGTTAATTTGCATTCTTAAATTTTGTGTATTTTACAGTTGGGGAGAGAAAGAAGTGAGAATCATAAGGATAATACCGAAATCACATTACCTTCATAAATATTCTTGTTTCTACATGCATATGTGGCTATCTATGAATAACAATGATCTCACAGAAAACTTATTGTTTTATTGTAGTTGATGAAGATTTGCTTTGTGGGCAAAATTATTTCTCTTACTGTAAAAATGAAGCATAAAACCACATATACATATATGTGTATTCAAATTTATACTTTCATTAAATCACAAGTACTGGTAATGGACTAGATAAATCTACAAATCATAGAAGAAAAATGTTTTTAATCTAGTGGTTATTTTCCCTGTTTATAACTGTTTCTTTGTTTTGTAGGACTTGGAGAAAAGTCTGGATGTTTTTAACATAATTTTAGCAAGGCAACAAGCAGAAGTTGAGGTAATAATTTTTATTAGCTGATTTCATGTTTTAAATATGTGAATACCACTCCTTTAAACCTAGGATTAAGAAATCACAGTATTACGGAAAGTTGCTGAGATTTATCCAAATTAGAATAGAGATTGAATTTTTGTTGCTTAATTTAATTTCTGGAGAAGATTAACTGGTATACAGGGAAAAAATCTCTCACATGAAGGGGGAAAATGATTTTAAATCTTACAACCAAGTATTTGAAAAACCTCAAAAGATGAGTAAATGTTATTCACCATTATAGCAACTTAGAATGCTACTCTATAGATTTCCAGTTTTTATCCCATGCTTATTTATCTGCTTACTTATGCTTTTTATCCCCACTACTTTTACTTTCTTTTTCCCTTTTCCTCTCTTCTTTCTCTCCTATCTCTTCCCTATCTTATTTCCCCTCTCCTATTTATCATCTATTCTTTCATTCCAAAGTTGGAGTCAGTTTGTTCATAATGGTTCACAATGCTTATTAGTACATTGTTTCATTTCATTTCTCTGTCTTTTAAGTAATTAAAAGCATAAATTCCAAATTAAGTAAAATTCATTATAATAACTATACAATGTTAGAAAATATGGATCAAAGAAGAAAGTAGAAACACTTATGTCACATACTCTTTACCTCTCACACTAAAGATCACTAATGTTTATACCTTTCTGCATTCCCTTTTAGTCATTTTTATAGTTATTTATACACACTTTATTTTTTTTTGGTTTATTCATTTATTCATATATGTATACATTGTTTGGGCCATCTGTCCCCCTGCTCCTCACCTCCCAACCCCCTGTTCTGCCCTTTTCTCCAATTTTGTTGAAGAGAAGACATAAGCAATAATAAGAAAGACGTAGCGTTTTTGCTCGTTTGAGATAAGAATAGCTATACAGAGAGATTCCTAGCATTGCTTCCATGCACATGTATATTACAACCTGAATTGATTCATCTCTACCTGACCTCTTCACTATTTCCGGGTCACCTTCCCATAGTGACCTCTGTCAGTTTAAGGTTACTATATTAGCTCCTTTACAGTGGGCACATCAAATACTTTCAAGTTTTGGGTTTCCTTCCTTTCCCTATTCCTCCTGTATGTGTTCTCCCCTTAGCGTGTGACCCATGTCCAGTAGTATTACTGCATTTGTTTTAGGTCTAAAGTCCACATCTGAGGGAGAACATACGATTTTTGGCCTTCTGAGCATGGCTAACTTCGCTTAAGATGATCTCCAGTTCCATCCATTTACTTGCAAATGACAAGATTTCATTCTTCTTCACGACTGTGTAAAATTCCACTGTATATAAATACCACATTTTCTTAATCCAACAGAAATTGCAACAAGGAAGATAAAGAAATGAAATTTAGAGAAAAGCTATGGAAACAGCTTCTTGGCTGTTTCCATAGCTTGGCTATTGTGAATAGTGCTGCAATAAACATGGTTGTGCAGGTGCCTATGCAATAACCTGAGTTGCATTCCTTTGGGTATATCCCTAGGAGTGGGATTGCTGGATCATTCGGCATGTCTATGTTTAGGTTTTTAAGGAGCCTCCATATTTTTTTACAGAGTGGTTGTACTAGCTTACTTTCCCACCAGCAGTGTATGAGGGTTCCTTTTTCCCTATGTCCTCGCGAACATTTGTTGTTTGTGGTGTTTTTGATGATAGCTATTCTAACAGGGGTGAGGTGGAATCTTAGTGTGGTTTTGATTTGTATTTCCTTTATGGCCAGAGATGGTGAGCATTTTTTCATGTGTTTTTTGGCCATTTGGATTTCTTCCTTTGAAAAAATTCTGTTTAGTTCAGTTGTCCATTTCTTTATTGGTTCATTGATTTTGGGAGAGTTTAGTTTTTTGAGCTCTCTGTATATTCTGGTTATTAGTACTTTGTTTGATGTATAACTAGCACATATTGTCTCCCACTCTGTGGATGGTCTCTTCAGTTTAGAGACCATTTCTTTTGTTGTGTAGAAGCTTTTTAATTTCACCTAGTCCCATTTGTCTATCCTTTCTCTTAGTTGCTGAGCTGCTGGGATTCTATTGAGGAAGTCCTTGCTTATACCTATTGCTTCCAGAGTATTTCCTTTTCTTTTCTGTACTAGCTTCAGAGTTTTGGGTCTGATATTAAGGTCCTTGATCCATTTTGAGTTGATGCTCGTTCAGGGTGGTGATAGACATGTATCTAGTTTCAGTTTTCTGCAGGCAGATAACCACTTTTCCCAGCAACATTTGTTGAAGAGGCTATTTTTCATTATATGTTTTTGACACCTTTATCAAAAATAAGGTGAGAATAGCTGGGTGGATTCATATCCGAGTCCTCTATTCTGTTCCACTGGTCTTCATATCTGTTTTTGTGCCAATACCATGCTGTTTTTATTGCTATTGCTTTGTAATATAGTTTGAAGTCAAGTATTGTGATACCTCCAGCATTGCTCTTTTTGTTGAATATTGTCTTGACTGTTTGCGGTCTCTTGTGTTTCCAAATGAACTTTAGGATACATTTTTCAGTCTCTGTGATGAATGTCATTAGAATTTTGATGGGAATTGTGTTAAACATGTAGATTGCTTTTGATAGCATAGCCATTTTTACTATGTTGATTCTACCAATCCATGAGCACAGATCTTTCCACCTTCTGTAGTCTTCCTCAGTCTCTTTCTTCAGAAGTTTGTATTTCTCCTTGTAGAGGTCATTCACATCCTTTGTTAAGTTTACTTCTAGATACTTGATTTTTTTTTTTTGAGCTATTGTAATGATTTATTTTCATAAATTTCTCATTTGTCATTTTGGTGTATAGAAAAGCTTATGATTTTTGTAAGTTGATTTTATTTCCTACCACATTACTGAAGCTGTTTATGGTTTCTAGGAGTTTTTGGGTAGAGTTTTTCTGGTCTTTGAGGTACAGGATCATGTCGTCTGGAAATACGGATATTTTGACTGTTTCTTTACCTATTTGTATTCCTTTTATTTCTCCTTTTTGCCTTATTTCTCTGGCTAGGAATTCCAGAACTATGTTGAATAGGAGTGGGGATAGTAGGCACCCTTGATTCATTCCTGATTTTAGGGGAAATGGTTTCAGTTTTTCTCCATTAAGTATGATGTTGGCTATAAGTTTGTCATATATAATCTTTATAATGTTAAGGTACATTCCTTCTATTCCTAGTTTTCTTAGGGCTTTTATCATGAAGTGATGTTGAATCTTATCAAAGGCTTTTTCTGCATCTATTGAGATAATCAAGTAGTTTTTGTCTTTGCTTCTGTTAATGTGTTGTATTACATTTATAGATTTGCATATGTTGAGCCACCCTTGCATCCCTGGGATGATGCTGATTTGGTCGTGGTGAATGATCTTCCTGATATGTTGTTGGATTCGGTTTGCCATTTTTTATTGAGGATTTTTGCATCGAGTTTCATTAAGGAGATGCTTACAGTTCTCCTTTTGTTGGATGTTGTCTTTGTCTAGTTTTGGAATTGAGTGTAATACTGGGCGTCTCATAAAAATGAGGTACCGCAGTATTTCCTTCCCTTTCTATTTTATGAGAGTTAAGGAGAGTTGTATTAGTTTCTGCTTTTTTAAAGCGTCGGATTAGAATTCAGCTGAGAATTCATCAGGTCCTGGACTTTTCTTTTTTGGGAGACTCTTGATTACTGCTTCAATTTCATTTCATGTTAGAGATCTATTTAGGTGGTTGATATCCTCTTAGTTCAATTTTGCGTGGTCATAAGTATGTACAAACTTGTCTGTTTCTTCAGAATTTTTAAATTTATTGGAATATAGTTTCTCAAAGTAGTCTCTGATGATTCCCTGGATGACTTCCATGGTGTTTGTTGTTATCTCCCCTTTTACATTTCTGATTTTACTGATTTGAGTTTTTTCTCTCCTCATTTTAGTCAGATTTGCCACAGGTCTGTCAATCTTGTTTATTTTTTCAAAGAACCGCTTTTTATTTCTTGCATTCTTTCGTATTTTTTTTTTTTTTTGTCTTATTTCGTTAATTTGTCAATCTTGTTTATTTTTTCAAAGAACCAGCTTTTTATTTCGTTGATTCTTTGTATTTTTTTTTTTTTTTGGTCTCTATTTCGTTAATTTTGGCTCTTGTGTTTATTATTTCTCTCCTTCTGCTTGTTTTGGGTATTGCTTGTTCTTGTTTTTCTAGGAGTTTGAGATGTAGCATTAGGTCATATATTTGAGATCTTTCTGTTAATGGCTATAAACTTTCCTCTTAGGACTGCCTTTGCTGTGTCCCATAGGTTCTGGTAGGTTGTGTTTTCATTTTCATTAATTTCCATGAACGTTTTAATTTCCTCTTTTATTTAATCGATGACCATTGAGCAATGTGTTGTTCAGCTTCCAATTGTTTGTGTATTTTTGCTGTTGTTTTTGTTGTTGAGTTCTAGTTTTAGTGCATTGTGATCAGATAGAATGCAGGGGATTATTTGTATTTTCTTATATTTGCTGAGGCTTGCTTTGTGCCCTAAAATATGATCAATTTTGGAGAAAGCTCCATGGGCTTCTGTGAAGAATATATGTTGTATAGAAGTTGGATGAAATATTCTGTAGACATCATCTAGGTCCATTTGATCTATGGTGTGATTTAGTTCTAGAATTTGTTTGTTGATTTTTTTTGTTTGGATGACCTATCTATTTGTGATAGGGGAGTATTAAAGTCTCTCACTACCACTGTATTGGAGTCTATATGTGCTTTTAAGTCCTTTAAAGTATGTTTGGTGAAATAGGGTGCACTGAAATTGGGTGCTTATATGTTGAAAATTGTTATTTCCTTTTGATGTAGTTCTCCTTTTATTAGTATGGAGTGTCCTTCTTTATCTCATTTGATCAATGTAAGTTTGAACTCTACATTGTCTGAGATAAGTATTGCTTACTCCTGCCTGTTTTCGGGTGCCATTGGCTTGGTAAATCTTCTTGCCTTTCACCCTAAGCCATTGTTTGTTTCTGTTAATGAGATGGGTTTGCTGTAAACAACAGATTGTTTGG